CGGCAACATGCAATAGTCGGAAAATTTAAAATTTATTTAAAATGAAAATTAATCCATTAAAATTTTAGGTCTCTCTGGTCTAGCATTTTCACTCTGTAGACCTACAGAATTTGAAATTTCTAGACCACGTAGACCTAAAAAAAATGTGGCTCAATTATTAAATTTTCAAAATGTGCGACTATCGCAATTTCCGGCGGGTCTCACCAGGTCTTGAAAGTTAAATCGTTAGACGGCAGAAAGCAATAGTCGGAAAATTTAAAATTTATTGAAAATGAAAATTAATCCAATAAAATTTTAGGTCTCTCTGGTCTAGCATTTTCACTCTGTAGACCTACAGAATTTGAAATTTCTAGACCACGTAGACCTAAAAAAAATGTGGCTCAATTATTAAATTGTCAAAATGTGCGACTATCGCAATTTCCGGCGGGTCTCACCAGGTCTTGAAAGTTATATCGTTAGACCGCAGAAATCAAGAGTCGGAAAATTTAAAATTTATTGAAAATGAAAATTAATCCATTAAAATTTTAGGTCTCTCTGGTCTAGCATTTTCACTCTGTAGACCTACAGAATTTGAAATTTCTAGACCACGTAGACCTAAAAAAATTATGGCTCAATTATTAAATTTTCAAAATGTGCGACTATCGCAATTTCCGGCGGGTCTCACCAGGTCTTGAAAGTTAAATCGTTAGACGGCAGCAAGCAATAGTCGGAAAATTTAAAATTTATTTAAAATGAAAATTAATCCATTAAAATTTTAGGTCTCTCTGGTCTAGCATTTTCACTCTGTAGACCTACAGAATTTGAAATTTCTAGACCACGTAGACCTAAAAAAAATGTGGCTCAATTATTAAATTTTCAAAATGTGCGACTATCGCAATTTCCGGCGGGTCTCACCAGGTCTTGAAAGTTAAATCGTTAGACGGCAGAAAGCAATAGGCGGAAAATTTAAAATTTGTTGAAAATGAAAATTAATCCAATAAAATTTTAGGTCTCTCTGGTCTAGCATTTTCACTCTGTAGACCTACAGAATTTGAAATTTCTAGACCACGTAGACCTAAAAAAAATGTGGCTCAATTATTAAATTGTCAAAATGTGCGACTATCGCAATTTCCGGCGGGTCTCACCAGGTCTTGAAAGTTATATCGTTAGACTGCAGAAATCAAGAGTCGGAAAATTTAAAATTTATTGAAAATGAAAATTAATCCATTAAAATTTTAGGTCTCTCTGGTCTAGCATTTTCACTCTGTAGACCTACAGAATTTGAAATTTCTAGACCACGTAGACCTAAAAAAATTGTGGCTCAATTATTAAATTTTCAAAATGTGCGACTATCGCAATTTCCGGCGGGTCTCACCAGGTCTTGAAAGTTAAATCGTTAGACGGCAGAAAGCAATAGTCGGAAAATTTAAAATTTATTGAAAATGAAAATTAATCCAATAAAATTTTAGGTCTCTCTGGTCTAGCATTTTCACTCTGTAGACCTACAGAATTTGAAATTTCTAGACCACGTAGACCTAAAAAAAATGTGGCTCAATTATTAAATTGTCAAAATGTGCGACTATCGCAATTTCCGGCGGGTCTCACCAGGTCTTGAAAGTTATATCGTTAGACCGCAGAAATCAACAGTCGGAAAATTTAAAATTTATTGAAAATGAAAATTAATCCATTAAAATTTTAGGTCTCTCTGGTCTAGCATTTTCACTCTGTAGACCTACAGAATTTGAAATTTCTAGACCACGTAGACCTAAAAAAATTGTGGCTCAATTATTAAATTTTCAAAATGTGCGACTATCGCAATTTCCGGCGGGTCTCACCAGGTCTTGAAAGTTAAATCGTTAGACGGCAGCAAGCAATAGTCGGAAAATTTAAAATTTATTTAAAATGAAAATTAATCCATTAAAATTTTAGGTCTCTCTGGTCTAGCATTTTCACTCTGTAGACCTACAGAATTTGAAATTTCTAGACCACGTAGACCTAAAAAAAATGTGGCTCAATTATTAAATTGTCAAAATGTGCGACTATCGCAATTTCCGGCGGGTCTCTCCAGGTCTTGAAAGTTATATCGTTAGACCGCAGAAATCAACAGTCGGAAAATTTAAAATTTATTGAAAATGAAAATTAATCCATTAAAATTTTAGGTCTCTCTGGTCTAGCATTTTCACTCTGTAGACCTACAGAATTTGAAATTTCTAGACCACGTAGACCTAAAAAAATTGTGGCTCAATTATTAAATTTTCAAAATGTGCGACTATCGCAATTTCCGGCGGGTCTCACCAGGTCTTGAAAGTTAAATCGTTAGACGGCAGAAAGCAATAGTCGGAAAATTTAAAATTTATTGAAAATGAAAATTAATCCAATAAAATTTTAGGTCTCTCTGGTCTAGCATTTTCACTCTGTAGACCTACAGAATTTGAAATTTCTAGACCACGTAGACCTAAAAAAAATGTGGCTCAATTATTAAATTGTCAAAATGTGCGACTATCGCAATTTCCGGCGGGTCTCACCAGGTCTTGAAAGTTATATCGTTAGACCGCAGAAATCAAGAGTCGGAAAATTTAAAATTTATTGAAAATGAAAATTAATCCATTAAAATTTTAGGTCTCTCTGGTCTAGCATTTTCACTCTGTAGACCTACAGAATTTGAAATTTCTAGACCACGTAGACCTAAAAAAATTGTGGCTCAATTATTAAATTTTCAAAATGTGCGACTATCGCAATTTCCGGCGGGTCTCACCAGGTCTTGAAAGTTAAATCGTTAGACGGCAGCAAGCAATAGTCGGAAAATTTAAAATTTATTTAAAATGAAAATTAATCCATTAAAATTTTAGGTCTCTCTGGTCTAGCATTTTCACTCTGTAGACCTACAGAATTTGAAATTTCTAGACCACGTAGACCTAAAAAAAATGTGGCTCAATTATTAAATTTTCAAAATGTGCGACTATCGCAATTTCCGGCGGGTCTCACCAGGTCTTGAAAGTTAAATCGTTAGACGGCAGAAAGCAATAGTCGGAAAATTTAAAATTTATTGAAAATGAAAATTAATCCAATAAAATTTTAGGTCTCTCTGGTCTAGCATTTTCACTCTGTAGACCTACAGAATTTGAAATTTCTAGACCACGTAGACCTAAAAAAAATGTGGCTCAATTATTAAATTTTCAAAATGTGCGACTATCGCAATTTCCGGCGGGTCTCACCAGGTCTTGAAAGTTAAATCGTTAGACGGCAGAAAGCAATAGTCGGAAAATTTAAAATTTATTGAAAATGAAAATTAATCCAATAAAATTTTAGGTCTCTCTGGTCTAGCATTTTCACTCTGTAGACCTACAGAATTTGAAATTTCTAGACCACGTAGACCTAAAAAAAATGTGGCTCAATTATTAAATTGTCAAAATGTGCGACTATCGCAATTTCCGGCGGGTCTCACCAGGTCTTGAAAGTTATATCGTTAGACCGCAGAAATCAAGAGTCGGAAAATTTAAAATTTATTGAAAATGAAAATTAATCCATTAAAATTTTAGGTCTCTCTGGTCTAGCATTTTCACTCTGTAGACCTACAGAATTTGAAATTTCTAGACCACGTAGACCTAAAAAAATTGTGGCTCAATTATTAAATTTTCAAAATGTGCGACTATCGCAATTTCCGGCGGGTCTCACCAGGTCTTGAAAGTTAAATCGTTAGACGGCAGCAAGCAATAGTCGGAAAATTTAAAATTAATTTAAAATGAAAATTAATCCATTAAAATTTTAGGTCTCTCTGGTCTAGCATTTTCACTCTGTAGACCTACAGAATTTGAAATTTCTAGACCACGTAGACCTAAAAAAAATGTGGCTCAATTATTAAATTTTCAAAATGTGCGACTATCGCAATTTCCGGCGGGTCTCACCAGGTCTTGAAAGTTATATCGTTAGACCGCAGAAATCAACAGTCGGAAAATTTAAAATTTATTGAAAATGAAAATTAATCCATTAAAATTTTAGGTCTCTCTGGTCTAGCATTTTCACTCTGTAGACCTACAGAATTTGAAATTTCTAGACCACGTAGACCTAAAAAAATTGTGGCTCAATTATTAAATTTTCAAAATGTGCGACTATCGCAATTTCCGGCGGGTCTCACCAGGTCTTGAAAGTTAAATCGTTAGACGGCAGAAAGCAATAGTCGGAAAATTTAAAATTTATTGAAAATGAAAATTAATCCATTAAAATTTTAGGTCTCTCTGGTCTAGCATTTTCACTCTGTAGACCTACAGAATTTGAAATTTCTAGACCACGTAGACCTAAAAAAATTGTGGCTCAATTATTAAATTTTCAAAATGTGCGACTATCGCAATTTCCGGCGGGTCTCACCAGGTCTTGAAAGTTAAATCGTTAGACGGCAGCAAGCAATAGTCGGAAAATTTAAAATTTATTGAAAATGAAAATTAATCCATTAAAATTTTAGGTCTCTCTGGTCTAGCATTTTCACTCTGTAGACCTACAGAATTTAAAATTTCTAGACCACGTAGACCTAAAAAAAATGTGGCTCAATTATTAAATTTTCAAAATGTGCGACTATCGCAATTTCCGGCGGGTCTCACCAGGTCTTGAAAGTTAAATCGTTAGGCCTAACCAGAATGAACAACAGCAATTTTACTAATGAAAAAAGCAATGCAGCTGAAAGTGTAGGATACATTATTCCGAGGAAAAAAATGCATTTAAAAAAAATATCAAAAGGAAAACTCAAGTAATTTACATTTTTGCATTGCGGAAAATATTTAGTAGTTTTTCTAGTGCTAATGACGATGCACTTAAGAAGCCACTTGTTAACTACACTTAGGTTTATTCTTTTTTGAAGGCTGGATATAGCAGCAGTTCACATCACAAACATCCCAGCTCAAGTCTTGCTTTCGTTTTCAACCCATTTTATGTGAAATTAAAAAAATAAATAGGCAATAAACGATAATCCGAATAAAAAAATGCATGAAGAACAAGCAGAATTATAAATATGATACCGTGGTACTCACTCAATTTTAGGAGTTTCGTCTATTGTCAAACTAGCTTTCTTATCCGAAACAGGCAGGTGACGCCGGTGCAGCAGGTAGTCAGCGGTACCAGAAATAGAGAACTCTGGAAGTGAACATAGAAGAAAAGAACATTAAAAAAAAATCCATAAAAATGTGTTATGTTCTGTGTATTTTATCTGTTTTAGCATTTTATGGAGAATAATCATGCGGAAGCAAACCATGCTGTGCATTCCCATTGATAATAAATTCAATTTTTTCTGACCGCCGGCGACCGACTAGACCAGGAATTAACACGAACGTTCTTGTCTAGACACGATATTGTCAGCAAAACAAGATCAATCTGCCTTTTCACTTCTTCTCCTCGCGCCCCCACCCGCCGGCACAGCCGACAAACGGAAAAAACGGCGGGGCTGCATAATTTGTTAGCAATAAATAATAACATATTTTAAGTACATACGTGTCAAAAACATAGCTACGAAATGCAATATTTTAAGCCCTAAATCACTCTAGACTAGACTGTTAAATTTTAACCTCATTTTGGCATTCATTTAGTTATACAAACATCATAAGTGTGTAAAAAATTTGGAAAACGAGGGAACGCCGCCGCCACTTACCTTTTCCCTATGAGTCTTTGAAGGGCGGAAGAGGCCGCGGATACATCACCGATCAGCGCGAGATGGATGAAGTAGAAACTACGGATTCTGAACTGCCGTCCAAAGAACACACGACACAAGACAGTTTTGGATGCGGCCTAAGAAGAGAAGAGAAGCGCTGCGAGTCCTTGCTTGATGCTTGATCCAAGCGGCGACTGCGACACTGCGACTCGACTCTCGATCCTCGACTCGCACTTCGCAGTTAGCACCACACTGACCACCACACCACTTCTTCCAGGCTGCATGGCTGCAACTGGCACAATGTGGAGGGGGAAACGGAAAGATCGCGCCAAAGAGGAAAACTCTTTCTGATTTTCATGGCGGGAGAAATATTTTGTGATTTATTGCTACTCTATTAAAGACATTCCTGATGTATGCTTTTGTTTCAAACCGCTTAATGGTGTAAAAATATAATTAATTTTTGCTGGTACATGATGCTCCAGCAACGAATGTTGAACTAAAAATAATAAAAGCGAAAGAAATACAAAAGAATGATAAATAATAACTAAAAAGAAATAAAAATAAAATATATAATAAATGGAATAATAATATGTCATTGAGAATTTTTAGAAATTTACTGGATTTTTTTCCTAAACGGGGTTTGAATCTTTTATTTTTGCAGAGAAAAAAATGATATAATAATTTTGTAATTATCATTATGCATTATGCATAGTCGTTTACATTGTAACAAATACATTAATCACATTGAAAACAATTAAAAAAAGCAATTGTTGGAAAAACAGCACCACCACTAGCAAAACTTTTGATAAAACTTCCGAGGTTGCAATATTAATGGGCGCTATTCTCTTGATTTAGTTCTCCTGGTCTAAAAGTTATCCTGGGATAAATCCGACAGGATAAATTTTAGCTCCCCGACCCGGACTAAATATTTTTCATCCCGCCTTAAATTTTTTGCTCGAGATAACTTCCATAACTTCTTTTTAACTCCGCGTCGGCGGGATAAATATTTAGCCCGCACTATAATCAAATCAGCTGCTTTTTTTTTAAACAACTCGTGAACCTGTCGTGAACGTTTTAAATTTCGGCCAATTGCAATAAACAAAAAACTTTTTCAAATCAGAATTTGGCGAGGATATGAAAATTATGAAAAAATTAATATCCAAAGCGAACATAAAAATCTGTGAGAAATTAAATTTGAAATTGTTCTTATATTTTATTTGAACAAATATTTAAAGAACTTTTCATCGAAGCAAAATAGGCGAATTAATTTATTTTTTTCTTTGAAATTATATGCGTGTTGAATATCCAGACTGCAAAAAAGTTCTCAAGTTTATTTATTATTTGTAGTGAAATTTTATAATTCTTTATTACTTTGCAAAACCAAAAGAGTCAACAAAAATTAGACGTAAAAATCAAATTAAAAAAAAAAACAAGTTTTTTTATTATTCCACCAATTTTCAAAATGTTTCAATTTAGGGTTGATTAAGTACTTCAGAGAAGTATTTATGGTTGTGTTGTTGACCGTTATTGGCGTTATTTCAGTTTCAGGTTTCAGGGTTTGTTTTTAAAAAACGATTTTTACGTGGATCGAACATTGAAAATGTGCGAGACAACCAAGGAATAAAGTTTCATGTCCACTTACCTCCCTCGGACCTTTGTCTAATTACTGAGGTACGCGAGTAAATAACAAGAAAAGAATGAATTGCTTTCTTTGGTTCTCTTCTTGAAATTTGTTTGGATTACAAGGAAGTTTAACTGCTTGGTCAAATTTGGAAGAATGCTAGTCCTGCCAGTCCTAACAAAAAAACTAGGACTCAAACTTCAATTTTCAAAATACGCGACTGTAAGATATTTTTTATAGTGTATTCCCAAGTCATTTAGTTTAGACGGCGAGAGTCGTATTTTTTAAATTAAATATTAATCGATGTTTTATTTTAGGATTACGAGGTTTAACTGCTTGGGTCAAATTTGGCAGAATGCTAGTCCTGCCAGACCTAACAAAAAAACTAGGACTCAAATTTCAATTTTCAAAATACGCGACTGTAAGATATTTTTTATAGTGTATTCCCAAGTCATTTAGTTTAGACGACGAGAGTCGCGTTTTTTAAATTAAATATTAATCGATGTTTTATTTTAGGATTACGAGGTTTAACTGCTTGGGTCAAATTTGGCAGAATGCTAGTCCTGCCAGACCTAACAAAGAAACTAGGACTCAAATTTCAATTTTCAAAATACGCGACTGAAAGATATTTTTTATAGTGTATTCCCAAGTCATTTAGCTTATTTAGACGGCGAGAGTCGTATTTTTTAAATTAAATATTAATCGATGTTTTATTTAAGGATTACGAGGTTTAACTGGTTGGGTCAAATTTGGCAGAATGCTAGTCCTGCCAGACCTAACAAAAAAACTAGGACTCAAATTTCAATTTTCAAAATACGCGACTGTAAGATATTTTTTATAGTGTATTCCCAAGTCATTTAGTTTAGACGACGAGAGTCGTGTTTTTTAAATTAAATATTAATCGATGTTTTATTTTAGGATTACGAGGTTTAACTGCTTGGGTCAAATTTGGCAGAATGCAAGTCCTGCCAGACCTAACAAAAAAACTAGGACTCAAATTTCAATTTTCAAAATACGCGAGTGTAAGAAATTTTTATAGTGTATTCCCAAGTCATTTAGTTTAGACGGCGAGAGTCGTATTTTTTAAATTAAATATTAATCGATGTTTTATTTTAGGATTACGAGGTTTAACTGCATGGGTCAAATTTGGCAGAATGCTAGTCCTGCCAGACCTAACAAAAAAACTAGGACTCAAATTTCAATTTTCAAAATACGCGACTGTAAGATATTTTTTATAGTGTATTCCCAAGTCATTTAGTTTAGACGACGAGAGTCGTGTTTTTTAAATTAAATATTAATCGATGTTTTATTTTAGGATTACGAGGTTTAACTGCTTGGGTCAAATTTGGCAGAATGCTAGTCCTGCCAGACCTAACAAAAAAACTAGGACTCAAATTTCAATTTTCAAAATACGCGACTGTAAGATATTTTTTATAGTGTATTCCCAAGTCATTTAGTTTAGACGGCGAGAGTCGTATTTTTTGAATTAAATATTAATCAATGTTTTATTTTAGGATTACGAGGTTTAACTGCTTGGGTCAAATTTGGCAGAATGCTAGTCCTGCCAGACCTAACAAAAAAACTAGGACTCAAATTTCAATTTTTAAAATACATATGACTGTATCAACATTTTTAGCGATTTTCAGAGTATTTCTTGCCTACGCTCGCGCAAGCCGCCACATATTCGGGGGGCTCGGCGGATAGACTTGTATTGGAGAAGGAAATTGCTCAAACTGCGGGAGTAATAGTTGACATTTTTCTAAAAGTCATTACACAAGATTGGGTACTTATTCAAGCCCATGACTCTAAGAAATTGAAAGGTCGCAAGAACTATGCATTTACTACAAAGCAAGGATAATTCGTGACAATAAAGATTTTTTTTGTGTTGGAAAAACAAGGAATCAAGCAAATCAAAGCAAATTGTCGCCCATTTCGCCTGCTGAACAAAATTTTTGCAAAAGACAAGGCATTAGGAATAGTTTCGACGCGCTTTATAAGAAAAATTGTGGAGGAGAAACAAATTGAGTTTTTAAAAATTGAAGACCTGGATAAAAAACTAGTTGTGATTGATTGTGGCATTTAGCCTTCTGCTTCACCATTGGTAAATCCTTTTGACAGAGACTAAAATATAATTATCTTGACTTCACGTTTTTTTTTTATTTTTAAAATTTGATGAGAACATTTACCGTTATGAATTGTTTTGTGTTTTATTATATAGTTAAAGAGATCCTTGAAAATCAAAGTAAAATGTATATTATTCTTTTATATTGCAATATGATTATATGTACATTTATTGATGTTCACAGACCTTGATGTAATTGCATGTATAAATTATGGACATTAATATAGCAAATCATAATGCTGAGTCCCAACTAACATTTGTACACATGGAAATATAAAAATAAAACCAATAATGCATTTAAAAAAAAATGAGATGAAAGTTTACATCTCTTATTCATTTGATTTATTAATACAAAAATATTGTAGATTAATTTTTGATTTGATTTAATATTTATTTATTAGTTCGAAAACTAGTACATGTACGTTTAAAATTAATACATGTCATTTATATATATATATTCATTTATAAAAATCAACTATCATTCGTACAATATCAAATAATATTTGAACAACGCTTCATATTATTAAAAGCAAGAAATACTATTCAAAAGTTAAGAATCGACGAGAGCGCAGCATAAAAAAAAAACACAGAAATTTTGTAGAACTATCCAAAAATTAAAATTCAACATATAGTTCTGTGAGCGGCTTTTTTATCCGAACAAAAATTTCTTTCCACTTCGTGTAGTAATAAGCGTCTGCGTTTTTACGAGTTATTTAACACGTCTGACGTGGCCGTCACGCAAGTTGCCTATATAACTCAAATTTGCTTTAAAATGTCGCACTTGATTTTATGTGAAGACGCGTGGTTCAAACGATTTTTTTTTACAAAATTATAGTCTCAAAAGTATAAAAATTGTTATAAAATTATAATAAATATTTCCTAGCAATTTAAAAATTGTTATTTATTCTCATGTGTTCTAGAAAAAATCTTTTATCGCAATTAGCGTGTACACTGTAACATTATTATTACTTCAACTCTTTAATAATATATATACACTTTTGACAACGCTGCCGAGGGGTGCTAAAAGCTGCCCAAACGTTAGTTAACTCCGTCCGGGACGATTTTGTCCACCAGGCACCAACGCTGGCAAACGCTGCGGAACGCTGGCAAACGTTGGTGGACACTGTCCGGGACGAATATGTCCACGAACGCTACCAAACAACGCTAGCATTAACGCTGCTAAGCTTTGGCGAACGCTGCTGAACGCTGATGAAGGCAGGGCGGCCAGCGGCCACTTCAACCCGTGTCAAAAGGGGCATAAGTTTGAACGCTGGGGAACTCTGTCAAACGCTGATGCGTTCAAATAGCGTTTGGCAACGTCAAAATAGAGTTCGTACAGCGTTCGTGATTACTAGGGGCGAATGCCGCAATTTCCCGCGGGTCTTACCAGGTCTTGAAGAAAATCGTTAGACTAGCAAAAAGGTAAAAAAAACTACCTTATTTTTCCACAGAGTAGACAATCCGCAACAGAAATCGCTAAATAGCAAATAAATATTGGTTCTTTGGCAAGAAAATCCTCAAAAATTTCAAAACATTTCCTACAGCTGTTTGCCGCAATCGCCAATTTTCCCGACCCCTTTTTTAGGAAATCATAACTTTCCTGGAAAGGTATGTTAGATACATGCATAATTCTATTCGGCATATCAAGTAGCTGCTAAAAATCAATTTTCTTCCAAATCGAATCGATTTTCAACTTGTTTAAGCGTTTTAAAATCTAATAATTTTTCAACCTATCATAAAACGCTGTAAAAATTTGAGAATATATCCGATTTTGATGAAGGTTGATTTTTAAAGCATCTCCTTGATATATGCCAAATCAAATGTTGTATCAGACATGTATACCTTCCGGATCCGGAAAAGTATTGCTTTCCTCAAAATGTGTCGGGAAACACTGCAATTGCGGAAAAACGGCTGGAGAAAAGTTTTGAAATTTTTGGGGTGTCTTTTGCCAAAGAACATGCTACAGTTTAGCTTATTTAGCGACTTATTTATGTTGCGGGTTGCATACTCTCTGCCCTCTCTGGGTCTACTTCTGGGAAAAATAAGTATTTTTTTTACTTCACTTTGCAGCCATTATTGGAAACTTAGTGTGCGCAGAAAAAAAGATAGGAAGTTAAATCAGCTTCAGAATCACCAATAAGTTTGTTATATTAGCTCCCATAGAAGCCGAGAAATTGACCAAATAACGTGGATTTTTGTGTGAGAATGGTTTATTCGCAGCAAATATGGAAAAAATTTAAAATTACGTTGTTGTTTCAAGATCCACCCCTCCAGCAATATTATTATTAGATTTTTATTTCCACGTGATTTAGGTTTCTTTTGCACATTAAGGGTAAATATTAGAAATAAAGAGAATTTCGAAATGCCGACCCTCTGGATTTGTGTTTATTTGGGACCATTACCCCTAAAAATCGTGATTTTTAACTTTCGACATTTATAATTCTACATTATTGTGTATTCACTTGCTTGGAGTGATGCAAATTGCAAACGTATAAAATACACGTATAAGAAAACTATCAGTAAATCTATATTGACGAGCTACAAAAAACCATCAGCACGGTTCCTCAATGTCAACGTGCAATTTAATACTAATTATTCATTTATTATCACAACTATATATAGTATACTTGAATTGAAAGAGATTATAGTACTGTCAAGTTCCTAAACTTCCTGATGAAATTAAAGCAAAAGAGTGTCCCAATTTCAATACCATTTTAAAAACGCCTGTATATTAGATTTGAAGTATATCAATCAATCCTCACTATATTATCCTCAGGCCATCAATATCAAACTTGCAGTTTTGCGTTATGAGGTGCTTTATTTTAATCTGGGTTATCATCACTTCAAATTTTATAGCATGCATTTTAAAATCTGCAATTTTAATTAATTTGTGTGACCGAGAGATTTCTCATAAAATAATTATGTTGCAAAAATCAAATAAATGATAATTATTGGACCAAACGATAAGTTTATTTTATATACCTGTCAAATTAAACAATTAAAAATTAAATATATCTTCATTGGCTGCACATCCTCAAAGGAATTTATAATTAATTTTATGCTTTCATTTATAACTCAAATTCTCAAGAAGTGGAATCACTGAGCTTGACTTTTGTCTCCATTGTTGGAAGGACCCTGAATTCAAAGAGCTCCTTTTTAGCTGCAAGGGTTTCAGGCTAACCAACCCTTTGGTCCTCCTTTGATTCAGCGTCAAGGACAGCTTGGACTTCAGGGCTATCAATTTTGAGAGCAGTAATTTCGATGTCATCCAGGAATTCCAAGTAGTTAAACCTTTTCAGGTCCATTTTTGGGTCATGCAGAACGGCCATTTCTGCCAGAAGTTCAGAAGCTTTTATTCGAAGCTCATCATTTCGGTGGCCGCAGTCCATCAAAGTGCGCTTCATGTCATTTAGATCGTTGAGGACAGCAAGCTCGTCCAGCTCCATTTGATCGTTGATGTACTGGTTGTTCAAAGAAGACGATGCCATGTTTCTTTTAGAAGGAACTCTGCAAATATAATACATTATACATATTTTCATTCATAAGTCAAACAATTTGAACGTTTATATTCTCAAAATCTTATTTGAAAGATAATCACGTCATCACATGATGTGTCCATCTAACCGTTTTTATGGTCGACAATTAAGAAAGAATAATCTGCTCCCTGCTGCTCCCTTCCTTCTCCTTGCGCGCGTTTTTTAGTGAGTTTACTCGTCGGTCTCGTCGTTTCGCGAACAGTCAACAGTGGCAGTAACGTCGCAGGTCATGTGATCGCGGCCCAGCGCGACCCGCCCACCGCCCATTCACTGCAGCAAATTAATTGAGACGAGCGAGCGTGAAGCCAGGTTCACAGGTTCAAACGGTTATACCGGCAGGGGGCGGGGATATCGGTAACCGGTTGTTTGTGGAGCGGGGTGGCGCGACGTATTTTTATAATTTGAATCCAAAAGCACACGCGAATGACACCCGAGCTGGAATTTATAGTTCACTGCGTACTACCTTTTCCGCGTCTCAGGAACTAGTATTTTTATGCATGCATATTTAATAAAATTAAAAAATATATGTCATATTTCATCACCTTCTTAAATTTAAATTTAGAAATAATATTATATAATTATCAGCAGAATATTTTTACGAACATGGTCAAAATAAAATAAGTGAATTAAACCCAAATAAAATAAGAATATTACGGGCATTCATTTTAATTAGGCTGTGGTGTATTGTATGAGATCAAAGTATAAAAATGTTTTGGTTTAACACAAACGCGGAAGGTAAAATTTTTATAATTTTATTGAGTTGATATTTTTATAATTATAATTTTTTTTTAATATTTGGATTACGGTCATATTTAGCACAGATGATTATTTAAAAGAGCCTTATTGATTCCTTCTTTTACTTGTTTAAGTCTCAAATTTTTTCCACTGTTCTGAACAAATTTATACATATTTTTTTTTTTTAAATTTTACAAGCTATGTATTCATAAAAGAGATATTTGCCTAATAGCTTCCTTGTTATCTTTTATATTTAATCAAATGTTGATACCAATTTTTTGAGATTGAAAAATCTTTTATATATTTCAAAAATTTAATTATTCGGATCAATAGGACCAAAGTTACGATTTTTTGAGTTTTCGTTTTTACAGAAACTTGAACAGCGCAATAACGCCGATGTCTCTCTTGTGTGAGACGACCGCGGCTTTTTAGTCCAAAAATTTTTGGGGCGGGTCGCGGAGTTTTTATTAATTATCTCGCCTGCTAATGAAGTAAAAATTGAGAAAATTCACAACTAAGCTCAAATACATCTATTGTTTTTTTATTGTGAGAATTCAGATTCTGAAACAGCTATTCAAAATTATTACAGTGTTTTTTCCACTTCAACTTTGACTGCAGCACATAGATTTCAAGTAAAAAACACAAATAAATTATGATTAGTTGCTTAAAGACTTGGCTCAAAACACTTCAAGCGTTCTTGTCAATGGCGTTAATAGAATAATTTAAATTTAATTCAACCTTCTTAAAAATGTGATGTTCATACTAAACTGCCGAGCGCAAATACTTTGCTCCCACTGGTCCGAATCGCATAATTCTAACGATGGTTGATTCAAAATTTTAAGCTCCAGAGCAAGAAGGTATTGTTAAAGCTCTAAGTGCCCTAGGTCACCCGCTGCCCTCTTGACCTCTGGTTTTTAATTTCAAATTAACTTTCATCAAAATTTGACAATTTTAATGCTGATTTCAACAAACCTAATATTGGCCGTATCAAAAATTGTGCACCCACATAATTATATTTTGTAAAATTAATAAATAATTTAGGAGAATAAGTTAGGAGCGCATTCTCATGCTATTTGTATATACGCTTTGTGAGATTTTCAACATTTTTAAGTCTCCTTGGATCACCTGTTTTTTGTGTTCTCTATTGTTATTGACGATTGCCTATACCTGACATGCTTCCTTCTCTTCTTCCACCCCCACAAAAATCTCCAAAGCAGGCAGCAGCAAGCGACCGATCTGTTTAGTTAGTGAGGCCGCGGCCATCCTCTGATAAACAAGTATGATTCTCGCCACTCGTCTTGTGTCGCGGTCGATCGTGACAAAAATATTTAAATAATTAAAAAAGTGAGTGTAAATATAAGGAATTTATAATAATTATAACGTGTTTAAATTTTCCAAACTTTATTTGAAATAAATATGAGAATAAAATATATATAATTTTAATTTTAACAAATAATTATTGATAAAAGCTGTTAAAATTAGTTAAAATTGGAAAATAAATATAGTTGAGATTTATGAATTTTTTTTACAATTAGCTTCTTGAACTTATGCGTGTTATCATCGCGGATCGCGAGTTGACCCAACCACGATGCACCGGGCACCCATAAATAAATAATTATTTTACTATTTTTAGCTTCTTTAATCTTTATATTGATAAAAGTTTGGGAATAAAGATTTTCGCTTCAACTATGCAATTTAACGACCGCGCAGAGTGCAGAGCTATAGGATTAATTGGATTAAAAAAATGATTTCAGATTAAGATTGCATTATGCTTTCCGCAATTGCAATGGGCTTTTTTTCATGTTTGAATTTTGAAAAATTTAAATTACTAAATACTAAATTATGAGAATAATTAATCGTAATTAATAATGCTTTTTGAAAAGAATGCAGTCGCAAAAAGGCCAAAATGGGGCAATTGCCCCTTTTAAAAGGTCGATAATTAAATAATTTGACAATATGAATCATCTATTGATATATTGAATGATATAATATGATATTAATGATATACGCGATCGAGCGATCTAATCCTTGCAGCCTAGCGGACAGCGGGCTCTACTGCCTGCGGCCTGCGGTACTTTTGCTTTTGTTAAAAAAAAAAACAATTGACGATCGGCCGATAACCGGTTGTTGTTACGATCTCTGAACCTCAGAAGCTCTGAACCTGGCTTCCCGGGCCTTTGAGACGAGACCCCAAACAAACAGAAAGAGTTTCAAACAATATATGTAATAAAACTTGAGGCGAAGACGAAAAGCCTTAAGTATTAAATGCATAGAGTACTGCATTGACCACCGTCAGAAATTTTTTGCGGGAATATGACGGACAAAGAATATTCTGGTTTATCTGTAAGTGCAGCAACTTTTTTAAAAACCACTTATTATGTTTTCGTAAAAATGCGTCTTTTACGTATTTTCTACTTTTGTCGTCTGCATTTATCTGCCGCAAGCTCTTGTGCAAACTCTTGAATTAAATCAATCATCTCTATGATTACTATTAATTTTAATGGTTTAATTTTTATGAGCTTCTATTTGATGATAATTTCAGAAAGAAGAGATCGCCCGACAGTTCAATTACCTTCCGGAGCGGAAGTCGAAGATTGCAACTTTGTTGAAGCAAGAAGAAAATACCAAGGAAGCTTACTGTATTTGCAGATCTTCCGACTCCAACCGTTTTATGATGTATATAATTATAATTGATTGCAAATTTGTTGTAATCAGACCGACAATTATTTTAAATTAATTGCAGTGCTTGTGACAACTGCGAGGAATGGTACCATGGGGACTGCATTAACATTTCGGAAAAAGATGCCAAGTACATAAAGCAATATTTTTGCTTGGTAATGAAACTAACCTAGATTTGCTTTAAAGGTTTTCATGTTTAAATTTGATTCTTTATTTTTTAGCGTTGTCAAGAGGATGATGGAAGTCTGAAAATTGTCTACAAACCAAGGAAAAAGGAAAAGGGATCAACACCCCTAACTCCGTCATCATCTCAGTCAAAAAAGCGCAATGAGCGAAATGAGGAGAAGAGACAGAAAAAGAAGGAAAAGGCTGCTGAGGGGTGTATGTATTAAAAATGTTCAAAAATTGACAAATACGAGCTAATGAAACATTTTTTAAGGTGGCCAATCTCGTTCTTGTGGGAACTGCGTCAATTGCTGCCAAAAGGAAGATTGCGGGCGTTGTGATTATTGTAAAGACATGAAAAAGTATGGAGGCCCGGCCAGGCTCAAACAAAAGTGCAGACAACGGCAATGTTTGGTTAGTTCTTTGAATTGTAAATTTGAATTGCCATAATTTAATTAATTTCTTCAGAGTCAGGGATGGAGTAACCACCAAGTTGTGGTTCCAAAGAGGAAGAGAAAGGACTCGGACAGTGATGGGGAGATGGTCAATCCAAAACTTTTCACTAGATCAGCCCGGCAGTGTTACGGGCCTAAGTGTATTCATGCAGCACGCGTTGGGTCCAAATATTGCAGTGAGAAGTGCGGACTTACGCTGGCCAGCCACAGAATTCTCTCAGTAAAATTTCTGTTAAATCTTTCTTTTTGTTGCAAAAAAAATTTTGTTCCTAGGTTTTACCCCAGAGAATTCAAGAGTGGAATATGACCCAAAGTGTTGCTGACGATAGAAACCGGAAGCAACTTGAGAAAATCAGGAAACAGCAAATGGAAGTGAGAAAGAATTTGGAGAAACTGGACAAAAAGCACCAGGTTTGCTAACTGTTTATAATAAATTTAAAAATAATGATAATTGTCTTCTTTTGAAGGAGCTGGATAGGTTGTTGGAAAAGGGCAGCATGGTGGAGCTCGACCCTGATGCAGATGGTGAGGGCGACGATGAGGCTGAAATGAGCATGTACTGCATCACTTGTGGCCACGAAATCCACACAAGGACAGCCATTAGACATATGGAGCGCTGCTTCAACAAGTACGAGAGCCAGGCCTCTTTTGGCTCCATTTACAAAACCCGAATTGAGGGCAACAATATGTTCTGCGACTTTTTCAATCCGGCCAACGGGACATACTGCAAAAGACTCAAGGTACAAACCGAAACAATGTTAATTTATTTTCAAAATTATTATTATTATTATTTTTATCAAGATATTATGATTGAAAAAAAATAAACTTGATTAAAAAAAATCTGAATTTTGCAGGTTTTGTGCCCAGAGCACGCTAAAGACCCAAAACTATCTGATTGGGAAGTCTGTGGGTGTCCCCTTGTCAAAGACGTTTTTGAAGAATCTGGCGAGCTCTGCCGAGTGGCAAAGAAAAAGTGTGTGCGCCACTACTGCTGGGAAAAACTGCGCAGGGCTGAGATTGACATGGAAAGAGTGCGGCAGTGGTTGAAAATTGACGAGTTGATTGAACAAGAACGGCAAATTCGACACTCCATGTCAAGCCGAGCGGGCGTGCTGGGACTCATGCTGCATTCAACGTACAACCACGATTTGTATGAAAGACTTGCTCAGCAGCAGAAAGAGGAAGTCAACAAAGCGGCTAATTCTAATTTGAATTGTTAAAATTATTTTTTTAGTTTGTAAATAAAAGTAAGTTGCTAAATCGGTGTGAAAAATAATTTAATAATGTCTGTAATTTTTTACACAATTGGTCTAATAATCTAATCCTGATTATCAAGATTGGCAGCAGTACCATATGAAAAGTGGAGGGGTTCCTCCATTGATTTACTAGATTATTAGGCCTCTTCTTCACGATGGGGTTCCTCCCTCGTAAAACTCTAAGAGGGGATTTTATTTTCCCCTACTCTCTCCTCTCTTACACTCGCAAATAACAAAAAATAACAAGCAAACAGCTGGCCAACATTCAAGAGATTTGTCTGCTGCAGGTATCGCCAGAAGAAAAAGAGAAAACAGATTTTTTTGTGTGTGGTGTGTGGATGGTCTGTCCGTAAAAGCGGTAAGCGGCGAACGTCCCCGTTATGAAAAATTGCTTGGGAAGTCCTCGGCGTTGTCATAATTGCGATTGCAACCTTGCAAATAGGAGCAACACTGACATTATTGTGGCGTCACAGACGCGCCGATAATATCCTGTTGTGTGGAGCTTGGAAAATCTGTGCCGCTTCACCTTTTCTGACTTTTGCTGTTACCCATAACAACCAGAGGTGAGAGAATTTTTTGTGTGGCATGCTAAATTTTGGTCAATTTTGAAAATTTCAGATGAACGGAGAATGGTTCAGAACAAAGGGGGTGGTCGCCGCTGCTGTCGGGGCTGGAATTTTAATCGGCGCCGCTGGGATTTTGCTTTTCCAGCAGATGATGGCCGAGAAGAAGAGGCTGGACAAAGTTGCGTCCAGCGTGTCCCTCCTCAGAAGAGAACTTGAGACACTTAAGAGGTGAAATTTACAGGCTATTTCTACTTTTTTTGCATGCAGTAGGGGTCACTTATTCTTTTTTGAGGGTTTTGGTATTTACCTCTGTCCTTGTGTGCTTTAGTGAGTCCAGACCATTAGGTGGTTCATCAAGAAGTCGACACAGAAGTGAAGCTCGCAGTCTCTCAGATGTGGACATGTTCTCGACTGTCAGCAAGCTTGACGAGGATGATGAGGAGAGTGAATTCTTTGACATCTCCGATGATGAAATGATCATCCAGATCTCTGGGGACGCGGGGTATGATTGAAAAGGAAATTAGTTTTTATCCGCACCTTTCCTTTTTTGCACTGGATATTAAAAAACAAACACCTTTTTCACAATAACTGAAATTTAAAAAATAACTTCATAGAGAAAACGACATCATTATGGAAAGTGAACCTTTAGACGAGCTACTGCTACAGGTTGACACACTTTTCAATGGAACCTCAGAAGACAAATTCCTGGCCTATCAGATTCTGCATGAAAGGAGAAATAAGGTTTGTTAATTTAAATATAGTATAGGCGCTGTGTATAATTAATATTTCTTAGGAAAAACGCCCGCCCGTCAACCTACTTTGGCGTATTTCAAAAGCCTGTCATTTTATGAGCAGCATCCAGGCAGACAAAAAGAAGGACTTCATATTTGAAGGTATGTCTCTAAATTTTAAATGAAGAGTTGAAAGAAAAAAAATTTAGGTCTCGAGTATGCAAAGCAAGCACTCGCATTGGACGACACCAACGCTGATTGTCACAAATGGTATGCCATAACTTTAGGCAGCTCCGGAGACTTCCTGCCCATCAAAGAAAAAATTGGCAATGGGTTCGTCTTCAAAACACATGTGGACAAAGCCATCTCTCTCAGACCGACAGACTTTTCTCTTTATCATTTGCTAGGAAGATTCGAATTTGAGGTATATTTCCGGTATATTTAATATAAATTTACCACCGGAAATTGTCATTACTATCCTAAAAAATAGGAAATGATGCCATTATTTTATTTCACTTCAAATATTGCTAAATAATTTAATTTTTAAATATATTTAGGTTGCAAACCTCTCCTGGCTGGAAAGGAGTGTTGCCTCTAGCTTATTCCAAGCACCTCCGTCGGGAACATTTGACAGCGCCTTGCAACACTTCCTTAAGGCTGATGAACTTCGGGGCGAGTCAAACCCTTGGAAGGAGAACAAACTTTTCATTGCCAAGTGCCACATCCAACTGAACAATTTAGCTGAAGCTGTGAGGTGGCTTGATAGTGCGACTGCTGTGTCAAACACTAGTGCGGAGGTATTTTCATCATTTTCCTTGATTTTCCTTGTGGGTTATAACTGATTTCATTATTATATTAATTTTTAAGGATGTGGAGAGTGACAAGGAAATCCATGGGCTGCTCACTAAATACGAAGGCTACAGAAGAGTATAAAGGTATTAAATTTCCCAAGATAAAGGAGTTAAATTTTGATAAAGGCATTAAATATTCAAGACGTCAAGTCCTATCCTGCCTCACAAAAATTGATCTTGGAAATTTGTTGCTATGACAAGCATTTAATTGAGTGCATTGACATTCATGTCAGCTATATGTAGCTAGTGTCTCATATGAGAGATATATATATTGGAACTTGGAACAAGAAACAAACATGATTGTGGGTAATATGATAATTTTTCACAGCAAGTGAATATGTAACTTGCAAAAAATAATGAAATTGTTTTAGTTGTTTCAAACGAGTGACTTAATAATATATTGATTCCATACAAAAATTTGTTAATTATCCACACTAAATGTCATATTTCAAGATTACCTCCAATGTGGTTAATCAGCTTAATACTCTGCAACTTTGGCTTATTAATCAATAATCTTTGCAAAATGTTAAGTAATCTAAGAAATCATGACACACAATTATCATTTAACTGAATTCTGAATTTAATTCACAATTTGCAGAAGTTCCTTTTACAAAGCACTAGCGTTAAAATTGATTAAGTTGCATGGGTTGCAAATTTTGCTCAATTAATTTGTAAGCAGTGCTGCGTTTTTATCTTCCTGAAGAAGCTGGTGTCTGTTTTTGTTGTTTTTGGTTGATAAATTTAGTGCTGCTATAACCATTTTAGGTGTACACATATATTATTAAATATTTTTATTTTTTACAATAAAAACACTACTTTTTTACTTGCGAATTAACTTCAATATTATAATACCCCCCTTCACCGCCCATCACCAAAATCTGCATCCCTTTTTTTTTAAAAAAAAAGCTGCATTACTGACAAAGTAACTGTTGGTATGCCAGATTGAATCCCAAATTGGCTCTGTCTCCATTTTCATTCCCATCTGTTACCACACCCAAAGTAAACGGCATTTGCAAGGCTGTAGAAAATATATGTTTATCATAATTTGGTTTATTTAAGCAAATATGATTTTACTTCGGGTTGTGAGGAAATCCGTCCCACAAAATCTGTCACTGCGTGTGCCTGTAGAGGTGACACGTGCATTGGGGATTATAATGAAATCTGAATTGCATGAGTTTCCTTGGAGGTTTGTGGCGGTCGCTAGATATTTGGTGTCAGATTTTAATTATTTTTATTTTAATTTACTTTACCTGGATCTCCTGAGAGTGAGAATTGATTGGTGCCGGCTCTGGTCCACTCGATGGAGCAATAACCGGCATTAGTTCTGATGCAAGCGGTGTACGTCAAATCCGTCAACTGCCTTGTGACAGTGGCTGTGTAATGTTGAAATAAAAAAATTATACTTTCTAAATCAATAATGTTTACCGGAAGCATCATAGTTAAAGCTCTGAATTTGGCCAGCATTATCTGTAAAGTACATCAAACAACCAGGTGGAGCTGGAATAATAATTATTTTTAACATATCGGCTCTTTATTTTGAAGCTTGGAATGTTTTACGTGACATGTTTTGTTCGTGTTGAGTGACCAAAATGCTCCATCGCCTTTTAAAGGTAGAGCTTGTACTGACTGCAACCACAACTTGAATCGCTGAACTATCCGCTAGAAACTTTAGGTACACTTGGAGAAAAAATTATTATTAATTTGTTACTGAAAATAACTTATATATTACTATGCTGGCCAGTGTTATCGCCACAAATAGCTGGCGGATTATTATCAGCGCCCAACACGGACAGTTTGTCAGTGTTGCAAACACCATTAGCATTTGGCTGAGCTAGTGATAATTCCGTAAAGGTCAAGCGGACCTGCAAATTTAATATTTAAGTAGTCCTTAAATTGTACAAAGTAATTTTTACGTGGGTGACCGATGCTCTGTTTTTTGTTATGGAAAGTGTGCAAGCGGAGCCACCGGTGTACGTGTCAGGATAACCAGGGCTGCGAAAATATGTATTGTTGCTGTTAGATGCGGTTCCGGTACAGTTTCTAGTAACTTTAAATTTCATTGATGATCTGGTAATTTTATAGATGCAGCAAAATTACCAACGCAGCAAGTACCCAATCCTTTTGAGCATTTGCCAAATTCACCACCTCGCTTGTTTCGGCAATCAGATCTTAAGTAGCATGTGCCTGTCAGGCCATTTGTCGCAGCACACTCGCTATTCTTAAATCGCACCACGGTGTAAAATGGCAGAACTATAATTAAATGTTAATGCCTTTTTTGTTCAATTTAGAAATAATTACATTTTCCGCTCCGGCTTGTATTGAGGAGCCCACTAGTGTTGAGATTTTTGCTGTGGTACTCTGGGAAAACTCTGTTTTGCAGGGGTGAACAGCCTCCGAGGAAAACAGTGATCAGTATCAAAGCCAAGTAATCCATATTAATTAGAATTTCACTGGATAACTTTTCTGAACTTTTGCTGTGTCCCGAAGGAGAAAAGAAAATGAGCATGGATGTGCGCGTGTCAAAGATCTGAGCAACTATAACAGTTATCTCATCTTCACTTAGGTGCTAATTGAAATGTAACTGGAGGACGCAGACGAACTTGAACTTTTTGATCAAACAAATTAATTTTCTCAGCACATACGTAGCACATATGTTAAAAACAGATTTATTAAATATATATAATTTTTTTTAAACTGACGTAAGAATTAATCACAAGTTTGAGAGCTCTGTTTTTCCTTCAAGGCAACCAAAATATGATTTCTGGGTGAAAAACGCGGATCGAAAGCTGGGATAAGCATGGCGTTCATCCCTGATAAAACGTTGGTCATATAAGTTAGTTGATTAATTTATTACAAAAAGAGTACCTTTTTCATCCATGTAAAGAAGTCGATCTAATAGTATCACTGCTTCAACAAGTGGGGCCACCAAAAGCCGCAAAGAATAAAAAATAACAACCCTCATCCAACGAGACAATTTTTCCTTCACATCGTCAGTGTCAAGATCGCAAGCAGGCAACTTGATTTTAAGTTTTTCGACTGCCTCGACTGCGTATCTTTAAAGATGGAATGGTTTATAACACAATTTTTATTTTTAAGAAATTTTTACTTTTCAAAGCTCATTTCCTGAACATGTTTAATGCTCTTCAAGCCAGAGTGTTTTAATTCGGGCATACGTTCTACCAAAATACACTCCAAGGCAGCTCGATAACAATGCACCTAGAATTTTAATTTTTTATATCATTTTAACAAAGAATAAATGGTTAATTACCTTCAGATCGTCTACACATCCATTTTTAAGGCGGTCACAGTACATCTCTAGAGCGTGGCAAGAAACCTCTCGCGCCTCATAGCTCAAAATATTTTGTGGGTGGTGTTGAACAAACCCACTCATTGGATAGCCCTGAATATCCTCACCATTGCTTTTTTAAATTTATAATTTGAAAAACTTAAAATGTAAAACACACTTTTGATCCGCCATCTTCATGTAGCAACAGCCAACAAGATTTAGAAACACGGCATTTTCGCAATTGGTAAGCAGCCGCATGAGGGTAGGTCCTAAGTCACCACAGGGATGCAATCCGACCAAGCCAAATTTCAGCTTTGTTTCAGATTCCAGTCCAAAAGCATCCATCAAAATCTGCGAATAAAGGTTAAGTTCATTGATAAATAAGTAAACTAACTAAAAAAACCTTTATCAATTCATCTTTGTTGAGTGCCGAGTGGATGCTTTTATTGATGTGCACTGGCGGTTTCTTCTCATTTTCAATTTTTTTAAGACATCTTATTAACTGCTCATCAATTTTTCTGAATACAAACAAGTTTCACTATTAAATAAATGCAAAAAAGGATTATCAATAGCGATTAATATTATATACTTTGCTTTTTCTGTGAGGCACCTCTGCTCCTCCAGACAGCAAACTTGAAGTCCATGGTGGAAGGCCAAGATTCGACCCAAATGACCAAGCCCAGAACCAATGTCAATGACAAACTCACAGCCAAGTCGAGAAGCACAATTTGCTGTCATCTAAAATAAATAAGGCTTAAAATTTTTCCCCCATAAACAATAATTTATTACCTGGGCCATTATTTCTATCTCATGGAATTTCTTTGGTTTGATGTGTTTGGAAAAAAGTTTTTTGTTCAGAGGCTCTTCCTTACTCTTAAACAAAAAGTCTCTGTGTGGACAGCTCTGTCTAAATCCAAGAGGAGGTTTGCTCCAGTTTTCTTTCAAGGGCTGGCGCTCGAGTGATAAGTGCTGAACAGTGCTCCTCAGTGCTAACAAAGATAATGGCCAAACGTCACTGTAACTAAAATTTAAAAAAATCCAATATTATGTAGGGAAATTTAAAAGCGCCTTAGTAAAAAAATGAAAAGAAAAATATTATTTAATGCGTACCTGTTGTACAACTCAGGGTACAAAACCCAATGGCCAAGTTCTTCCGGCGAAAGCTTTTCTAAAACTTTGGTCCATTTTTGTGGCAAAATGTCCCAATGCTTTTCCACAAAGAAATCCTGAAAATGATAATTAAAAATTAAATGTGCCTCACTAATATTAATTGTCCAAAAGAATCATATACCAGCATGTAAGCTTTTAGAAGATTTTCATTCTTTTCGCAGGTGGCCAAAAGGTTGAATAATGTTTTCTCAATCACTTTTGGCTCGTTTGCACCGTTGCACTCGCAGCAATAACTCATCTTTTAAGATTTTTTTATCGTGTACAAATTAGAATCTTTTATGGCAAAATCTTTTGTGAGCCATCGTCTCTCATCTCCTGAATCGTCTCGCAGCAGAGGAATTTTACTAGAAAAAAAATCAAGTTTACACATATATGTAACATGCAAATATAAATCATACTGACAAAATTTTAGAAAAATGTTAAATCCCTCACCTGGCTCACCTTCATTTTTCCAAGAACCCGGAAGGTGAGATACTGATGAGAGTATATTTTGTCTTATGTGCAGATCCCACAGTTCTCAGTTATTATAGAATTAGTATAAAAGGCACTTTTTGAATTTTTACTTGGAGTGTGGACCTTTTGTTTACGATTTCATTGATCCCCGATCCCTGATCCACGCCCCCATCCATGCGGCTTTATTTACTTTCCACGCGGCGCGCAGGCTCGCATAATATAATTCATAAAATAATTATTGAATGTGCCTCTCAATTAAGCGTCTTAAAAAAAATGGTGCATTATTTTGTGCTGCCAATGGATTTCAATAGCTTGCAAGATTTATTATTTTTAAATAAATTTCATGCATTTATATTTTTTTTTTTACTTGAACGATATTTAGATTTTTTTCATATATTATTAATAATTATTTATAATAAATATTCGATTCCATTAGGTTACACAAAGATTAAAAAGGGTTTTCTTATTTTCATCAATATGTAAAATAATATATATCAATATAAATAATATATAAAGCTAAATTATAGATAAATAATAATTGAATGATATAGGAATGAGGTTCACTTAGCGACAAAAATGGGGTGTTTTTATAAAAATATATCAGAGATATATCTATGAAGTATTTTAATATAACTTTGCCACTGGTGCTGCCGTTTTAATGAAAAATTACCTCTTTCTCTCTAAAAATGGTTACTTTAATTAATTACAATAACGAAATATTAATTTAATTTTTTTTCACAATAAATTAAAAAAAATTATCTGTATAGCGTTGATTTTTTCAAAGAATCATGATTCACGGCATGAATACGTAGATGATCTAAATTTTTTTCCTGAATATTGGCATCTTAAAAAAAGTGAAAAATAAATTTTCTACAAAAATTTTAATCCGCACAACTAAGAATTTCAATAAAAACCTGATAAAAACTTACCATTTGAAATTTAACTCCCGAAATTAAAAAATATGAAAAGAACATCCTAAAATACACTAAAATACAAATATGCTCTGTAAAATGCATTTATAAAAAAAAAATCTCAATCAATTTTGCTGACATATAGGCCGAACTTTTAATGCTTCAGTGCGATTAATGACGTTTAATTAATATGATTCAGGTAAAGTCGGCTCATATATCATTGGGGAGCGTGGGCGCGCTTTGCGGAGATGAATGAATGAAAAGCGGAAAATTCCCTTGCGTTGGGAAATCGGGGTCGGTCGTGCCGAGTCGGGCGCCGGATAAATATCGACCCGGCGCCGAGTGGAAAATGAAGGTTGCGAGTGGTCGTAGGTGTTAGACGGAGGAAGGAACGCACGCACTCGAGCAGCCTCTTCTACGCGTCAGAGTTTTGGGCCGACCCGCAGCCCCTGGCCGAAATCAACTATGGTCAGCGACTCCCTGCGCGATGAGGCCGCCGAAAATGTCCTCAGCACCACTGGTAAGTGGATTTGCAGAAAGCAAACGCAGCCGTCGAAAAAAACGCATTTCATTCGCGACACCAAGTAGGGACGGGGGTGCGTTTCGCAATGTGTGCGAGCGTGAGTGTGTGGGCGATAAGGGTTGCGAAAAAAGATGGATGGCCGATCGACAATTCGGCCCGACTCAGTTTATTGCAAAACTTTTCTAGATTAAACTCTCTTTCGTCGGAATCTAGAAGTGTTTTGGATTTCTTAACTTTTACGTCAACCCTAAAATTTGCATAATCGCGGGCGGAAACTTCTCGGCGAAGGATACCTTCTTTTCTTATATGTATATTCTTTTTGAGGCGCGGACTTATGTTTTTTTGCCCTCGGTTATTGAGCGAAGAGAGGTGTTTTTATTTTTTTCCTCTTTTGCCAACGGTACGTGTTTCTCTACTTTTCGTTTTCGCGATCTGTATATACGCAAAGACATAAAAAGAAGAGGGTAAGAGCAACTGAAAGAAGAGGACGCTTGCTCTCTATTTACACGGTTAATGGGAAAAAATCGACCACCGCAGCGCTTTTTAATTGCCTTCTCGCGCCTCACTTGAAAAACACAAATTTCAGCAATATCGGCTTTCTAATAATATTAGACCGTCGCGCGTTTCTTTTCTTTAAAAGGATTCTGTTGCCTTCTTCTTCATATTGCACCATATGTCAGAAAACTAGTAAAATGTAATAGTAAATAGTAAAAGTTGAAATGGAAGTTTAAAATTCATCATTAAGCAAGGAAAATAGTGATGAAAATTAAAATCTAATTCGTGGCGCTTAAAACTATCATGGAATATGTTAATTTCAATGCAAAATTCCTTATTATTTTTGTTAAAAAAATTATCCCTACCAACACAATTGTTTTATCTCTCTCTGAAAGACTTATTGATTATTTGAGAACAATTGGAATAAAAATGATAAAATAAGCTAATAGCTAAATTGAAAGACTTAAAAATATTTTTAAATTTCAAAAGCTGCAGAAATTAATTTTTGCTCTCTATTTTTCCTTTGCAGTTACGACGCCCACCCTAGTGGGCATCTGCTTAGGGGCCACCCTTTTCCTGGTAGCCATGGCGGCGGCCACTTGCTTCTGCTACCGCCGCCGAAGTCCTTACACCGCCAAGATGTACTCAAAAAGGACCGAGAAGCCGGTGACCCTTCGCAAGCCGACGGCGGTCAAGAGTCCTGGCTCCGGCCCCACCACTCATTATCTGAAAAAGAGCCCCAGTCCGACGGACCATAAGGCACCGCCGGGGATGTGCAACGGCGACACTAGATCTTCACCAACAGAGCTCGAGAATGGAAACGGAAATAAGGGGTGGCACAGCAGGTACTTTTTTATTACAATGCAAAAAATGATATTAAAAAAATCTGGTTTGGTTTTACTTAAAATTGATGGGAAATATTTGAACAGCTAGGATAATAATATTAATTAAATTGTTAGATATTTTTACGTAACAATTCCCATAGAATTTATTCAACCACGTTTTAAACAAGGGTTTATTAATTTTTATTAATTTTTCAATAAAAGAACAAGTCCAGTAGCATCGGACAAAACCCTGCTTGTGGACACGCAGCACGCTAAGAAGGACGATTCGGAAAAGCAGAAACTACTGGCCAACTGCATGGTTGAAGTTGAGCGCGAGATTCTGGCCTCGACGGAAGCGGCACCATCCGAAAAGTTGGTGAACGGCAACACAGACCTTGTCCGCAACGACAGCGGTGGCGTGGACAACACCAAGCTGGGGACCCTTGTTTTCAAACTCAGGTATTGATTAGTCGCATAATGAGAACTTTTGTTTATTCCAAAACAAAAGCGAGGGCAAAAATATAGAAAGCTAAAAATTCAATCAATATAATGTGGAGAACACAGAAATTGGTGTGGCGCATCGTTGAATACAGACTTATGGCTTTCATGTTCCATGTGGGGAGGCTTAAAATTTTCAATTTCAATATTATTTGCCAACTATTGCCAATCAGCGTGCAAATGATTAATATTCTGCTGAAAAAATGTAATGGATTTTATTAATTTCTTTAAGTAAGAAAATAAACACCATCTTCATGCTCTTTTTCTAAAATTGGAATTTTTTCCTACTTTAAAGCAACAATATACGTTATTTAAATTAATACGGTAGTGAAATTATTAATTAATTAAATAAGGAAATTGCGATTAAAAATTAAATAATAAATTTCAAATCAATTATAAATTTAAAACTAGATTTATTTACTTATAAACTTTCAGGTACAAGTCCGACAAAAACGCGTTGGTCGTGACCGTGGTAAAATGTCAAGATCTGCCGGCCCGCGACCCTAACATAGGCAGTTGCGACCCTTACGTAAAACTGCAACTTTTGCCTGACAAGCAGCACAAAGTGAAGACTCGCGTGCTGCGCAAAACCAACAACCCGGTCTACGATGAGGATTTCACTTTCTACGGCATTAGTTTCAATCAATTGCAGGTTTGATCCTTGATCGAAATAAGGGACCACTATGTTCTATTCATAAAATCAACGTTTCAGTCCATTACGCTTCATTTCGTGATTTTGAGCTTTGATCGGTACTCTCGGGACGACATCATCGGCGAACTGTTTTGTCCACTTGGCCAAGAAGATTTGCTGATAGCCGAGAGTCAGCAGATGTCCCTTACCAGAAATATACAACCCAGGAGCTTAAAGGTTAGAATCAAGAGCCAAATCTAGTGCAAATTTAAAATCAACTTTTTTTCCAGATTCGCTCTCAAGGACGAGGAGAGCTGCTCGTTTCTCTTTGCTGGCAGCCGGCCGCCAGCCGACTGACCGTTGTCGTCCTCAAAGCCCGAAACTTGCCAAAGATGGATGTCACTGGACTGGCAGGTAATTAACGGACAAAATGGAATAATTGGTTATTTACTCAATTGTTCTTACTGTTAATAATGAATTTAACAGGAGTAACAATTCCTTGAATCAAATTTACATTTATTCTAATTCATTAAATTATTTTCACTTAGATCCGTACGTGAAAATTTATTTGCTTTTTAACAACCAACGCATCGCTAAGAAGAAAACCCACGTCAAAAAACGGACTCTGAACCCAGTCTTCAATGAGAGCTTTGTTTTCGACATCCCTCAAGGCGCCGAGGGACTTGACAGCGTTAGTCTCGATTTCATGCTGCTCGACTGGGATAGAGTAACGAAAAATGAGGTACGTATTTGAGAGCAAAAATTTATTTATATTATTTCATCATAAGTATAGGGAATAAATTGAGAGGGAATAATATTTTTCTTCTTAAACAGGTCATTGGTCGCCTGGAACTGGGCAGTACTAAGAGCACCGGAACTGCACTGCACCACTGGAACGAGGTTTGCAACGCTCCGCGCCGACAAATCGCAGAGTGGCACAAATTGCGAGAGTAAATACGAGCGCTCGTATTCTTTAATTTGATACGTTTTCTTTCTTTATTTTCGTGCAGTGCAGACTGAAGAAAAAGAAAGGCGAAAAGCTGGTACAAACAAACAAGCTAATTTACAAAAAATTAATGAGAAAAATGCACTCTATTTGATTAAATACAAGTAAGAAAATGTGCGCGATTGAATTCGTTAACAGAAAAACGCAGAATTTGTTTGCAGTAAATTTTAAAAGAGACAAAAAAAATTTAAAACACGCGAGATTGATATTTTGATAAGTTGATGGAGAGGTGGATGGAAAATCACATCTTAGGAGCTGAATTTATCTCAAAGTAGTGCTCTATATTATATTAACGTTAGGATATCATTGTTATGTATATATACTGAGAGAGCAGAAGATGCATAATCATCATAAGCACGTAATGGTGGTATATATACATAGAACTGCTGAATATGTTAAGGTTGCTTTGCTAAAAGTATAAATTATTTTCAGAGCAAATCAAATATGATAATTATTGCATTTTTCAAGTGCAAGTAAAATTATTGACAGTTGGAAAGTATCATTTGCAAAGATATTGTATTTGGAAGCAAACAAGCTCATGAACTGCAGCGCTTAATCGGCTATTTAAAAATGCTATTAAAACTGAATTTAAAAAATATGCAATTAAAAATAAACATGCAAAAACTATGTTCACGTCTATACATTTAGAGAGCGCATGACAAACTTTAGTGAATTTGCACATTATTGTCGTAATCAGTGTGAAATAGGTGTTAACTTTAATCACAAAGATCTCATCTGATTTACGTTCAAATTTCTGAACTAATTAAATTTTCCAATTAAAAAGTTTCTAATTACTAGAATTACTTTTTGCAATTTTATAGTTTATATTTGCCAAGAAGAGGCATTTTTGCCCACATATTTTAAAGAGCTTGAATAATATGGATAATATGACTCACTGCGGAGTTTTAATTTATTTTCTTTCAACAAGAAAAATAATTTCCAACTTAATGTGCAAACTAGAAATTGGCTCTCAAAAACTTAAATCAATGATGTAGTCTGTTATTAAAAGCACACGCGCCACTTGATTAGAACTTTAGTTTCTACCTCACGGACGTGTTTCTTACTGTTTCCACTCTACTTGAAAAAAAAAATATGCTAATGCGTTTCCTCTGTCTTTTTAACTTTTCATTAAAAATTGTTCTTCATCTCAAATTTTAGCTATCTCAAAGGTACTGTAATTTTTCTTTTACTCTATCATTGTTAGCTGTGCAAAATAAAGACGCATCAAAAAATAATATAATTTTTCTTTTGGTGACGAACTTCTACTCTGAAATTCTTCACAACACATGCGCGCCTGCGATTTGCAAGGCTATGCAACCGGGCGCACAGAGACGTCATGTCCATTGCCTTCATCTAAATCGTGGCTAAAATGTTCGACGTGTGAATCAAATTCCCTTGATTCAATTGTAATTTTTAAATAAAAATGGCAATATTTATTCAGAGTTGATCAAGGATCATACACAGTTTTCCAGTCATTACATAACTGACTTTGAAAGTAAAAAAAGTACGAGATTCAAAATTTGGTATATATGAGTAGAGAAGCGCGTAAAAAAGACGAAGTGCAAATAGAAATGGTCCAAAAGGACAAAACGGTGCAAGTGACTCACGTGCAGTTACCAATCCAGGCATTCCAGGCTAGAGATTTATATTTGGCTTTGCAATCATGCAGAGATGGTGAGGTCAATGTTGCAGAAGACGTCTGCTTTTGTCGTTGGCATCATTTTGAGGTTGTAGACTAGCATCAATTTTGAAGTTCAGCATCGTTATTAGTTTCCTCTTTTTCCTCCCTTTGAAAATTAAAATTATTATCAAAACATCCAATTATATATGCGACATACTTTTTTCCAAAAAGCTCGCCATCTTCAATGGTTTCTGGAAGCTTTTTGTTCAAAGTCTCTGGCAAAAGAAGAGACATTATTCCAGCGGAAAATGCTAGAGCTCCAATTAAAATGAGTGGGGCTGGCCTCCAGTAATCAGCCTGAGGATAATTTGTTATGTATTGAAACAGAAAATTGTAATTAGAGTAAAATTACCAGTTGGTTAACGAACGGTGCCAACATTCCACCAACACGAGCTGCGGTTGAACTGATTCCAATTCCAGCATTACGAATCACAGTTGGGAACTGCTCAGCAGAGAAAATGTAGACAGCTCCATAAGAAGCGGTGATGGCCATCTTTCCAAACATAGCAAGAGAAATCAACAACCAAGACATGCCTAGCAAAGAGAACATTTTATTTTCATTCGGCAAATTTAAAAAAAAATCCTTACTTTCAGGAACAACGACGCAGAGCAAGAGGGCTGCACCCCCGACTAACATTGAGCCACACAGAGTAAGTTTGCGACCATATTTGTTGAGTGCAAACAAGAGGAATGTATATGCCGGAACTTCAACAGCACCGGATATAAAAAAGTTAAGAAAATCGTTGCCTCCCAAATTAGATGTATTCCACGAGAGACCATAATAAGAGCCACTGTTGACAAACCTAAATCCAATTTGGCTGAATTTTATACAAATTTAAAAAAACAAGCACTAATATTACCACAAAAATAAAATAATGAAGGTTTTGCGTCTCAGATTTGGAAAACGCATCAAATCGAGCAATGAACCCTTCTTTCCGGTTGTTTCATCCCCATCTTTCTTTGTGTCCTCCTTCAGGAATTTATCAAGCATTTCGTCCGGCAAGTCAACGTTGTTCTCCTTTGCTGCATTCTTGAGCACCTGTCTTGCCTCAGCCTCTCGGTTGTTGGTTAAAAGCCACCGGGCCGACTCAGGAACGAACCTTGAATTTCTGGATAGACACAAGTATTAAATAACATAATTTGATCGTTACCACCAATACAACAGAAAGAGCAGTCCAGGGAGGGAAAGAGCAATTTGGAGTTGCCTCCAATCAGTAATGAGGTAAGCCAAGAGGGCGGTCAACATGTAGCCCAAGGTGAAAAAGTATTGAACAACGACACCAGCGTAAAATCGTTTGGAAGGGCCAACCATTTCCATGCCTATAAATTATTTTAATACAATATTACAAAGATAGGCAGAAACACTTCAGATTATTGTACCAATAACATATGCGACCAGGAAAACACCCGACGTTGTTGCTCCAATTAACATTCGGGCAAACACGAAGCTGAAATATTCTGGAGCCAAACCTGCCAGAATGCCTCCCGTCACTTGTAAAACCAAGGAGGTAAAGAAAATTGGTCTTCGGCCGAATCTGCATAATTTTAAATTAAATGGTTTAATATAGGAAGTTAACAGAACTGTACCTGTCAGACAAGTAGCCAAAAACAATAGAGCCCATCATTACGCCAAACATGAAAACTGTGTCTGCGGCTGACCGAACCCATGCCTTGTCACAAACTAGACTCCACTGGAACCAAAAGTATGTAATCAGCATTTTTTTTTTTTAATAAAAATTTTAACTTCAATTTATTTTGCAACCAGAAGGCTAAACAAATATTTAAATTACCTAAATCTCCGCATAATTTTTAATTTTTAAATAATATTAATAATGAAAAAAAAAATAGTTTATGTTTAACAAACAAGTTACAACGTTTGCAAATAATATAGTGGAACTAAAAGTTTGACTTACTTCAAAAACGGCGCTAGATAAATATTTTGTGTGGTCAAAAACCCATTGTGTGCACGGCGCTTCCTTTGTGGCTGGGACGTTTCCCTCAAAATAATCATCGGTGAAATTTGCATCCAAACGTCGGCACTGCGACCAGGTGTGGGTCAACGAGTCCAACGGATAGCTCATGTTCCATAGAGGGCTGATGTCGTTCCAGGTGGCATTGCGCTCATGTTCAAAGGGCATGAGGCACCTGTGCGGCGCCTTGGCGGCCAGGAAGACCCAGGCCAGCTTGTGGAGGGCACATGAAATCGCCGGCAAGCACAGCAGCAGGTAGATCCGCTTTTGATAGCGGCCAAACTCGCCCAGGTGCACCAGCAGCTCGTCGAACGCCATCGTCGTCCGGTCGGTCGGGTCTGCAGACAGAGGCACTTATGCAATCAAACACGTGGTCTGTTAATGGTCGTCACGAGGGCACAAAGTCATTTATCTAGATACATAATAGTGTATCTGAAGAAAAAAAATTATGAGATGGTCTGACTTTCATGTGAGAACTTTCAAAGACGTAATTTAATACGAATGAGCGCCGCGCTATAAAAATACCACTGCAGCATTGATGCTTCACGCTTAAACATTGACCTGCGATAACGTTTAAAAACTATTTTTTGGACCTAGCTCTAAAAAAAAGAATTTTGTCTAATATAGAAGTAAATAGAAACGAAAAGGAAGCATAGCCAATTAATTTTATTTAAAGTCTTAGTAATTTCAAATAATTTATTAATATGTTTCTTTGTTAATCAAATTTTGGACGTGATATTGTATTAAAATTTTCAGAATTTGATAGAAAAGGTCAAAGAGGTGAAACATTTGATATATCGGGCTTGCAGTTTCAACTAATTAGTAATTTTCATATTTTGAGTTAATCCTAAATTATAAGGAATAAAAATTCAATCGTTAGTATATTTAATTTGCAACTATATTTTAACACGCAATTTTGAAACCTAAATCTAAATAAAGACTTAATCTACAAACCCATTTTATGTTTTTTTTATCCAATCCTGTTTCTATGACGTATACTGTCAAATCAGTGGTAATCTTCAGTTTCCAAAAGTTTCAGCTTTTTAGATAAATTGAACTGTATTTTATTGTAGTGTACGTGTAATACATAAAAGGCCTTAAAATTTTTCAGGGCTCGCAAAAATCCGCTCTTCAAAAGATCTTTTTGAAGAAAAATGATGCATAATTAATAAAAAAAAAACATGCAAATTCATACCCGCTTGCAAAAAATGGGTGGTAGTTTCTTCAAACCCTGAAATGTTGACACATACAAGAGGAATTGAGACTGAATTTTGTCATCAATTAATTGGCCAGCCAAGTATAAATCCTCATAAATTTTAAAATTGACTGTGGCTCAAAGCGTTATCAATTGACTTCCTGGTCAGAGGTCAGAATATGTATGCCTTTTTTATAAAAATTGTTTCTTGTATTATTTTAAAACCAGCACTTAACCTCTGGCATCACAAGTTGCTGGCTTGAGCTATATTAAAACATTAAATTAATGTCGTCGAGGGGCCCCCGTAGCGGAAATCTGTCGCGATTAAAGGGTAAACGGCGGTTTTGCTGAGCACTCTCCAAAACAAAATTATAAGATAGAAAAGTTGTATGATTGAACATCTTTATAAAGTAAAGTTATTATTATGAGAATATAGAAAAAAACAATATTTTATGCATTTTGTTGAATAATATAAAATTATAAAAGATTTTTTTCTCCTCCATACTTAATAGTATTGCATTTACTCTACATACACTTTCTGAATGAATAATAAAAAAATCGTGAAAAATCGTTTGATTCTTTAGTGCCTAAAATGTCAAATAATCTCAATTGGTATTAAGTAAAATATTGCGATTTTAAAATGTATACCTTAAGACTGATCCTTGGTGTTGACGATGAAGCGCAATTTACTTATTTTGCGCTTGATGTAAGTATAAAAAAGTTTCAGACAGACGCTGCGTGCGGTGTATTTCAGTTCAAGGAATTCGCCGTATATTGAGCGGTCCGACTCGAAGCCGCTCGTCGTATGATTTTGAGATGAGATGAGCGGGCGATGCCCTTTTATGAGTATGCCTATGCCGGCTTCTTGGTTGTGGCTCTTTTTATGAAGTCCAAGATAGTGTAGGCAAAGGAGACGTTTGTACTCGAGTTTTTCACCGCGAATGTTTAAAAATTTGCACGCGTGTGGTTTTAAATCGGCGGGCGATGTTTGCGGAATTGTTTACAGCAGATAACGCGACGTTTTCCGCGAGTATTACAGCGAGATACGACTACTCCTGTTTACGCGAAAATGGAATGTACCACGCCCTCAATGTTGCAGAATTTGTGCAGCTGACACGCCCCCTTCTGTCTGGCTTGAATCAAAATAACATCAAGGAACATTTTGCGGTTCCCAAATTCATGAGAGAAATTGGCCTCGTGGGTTCCTTAAATGAATTTTACACTCCTAAGGCTTGAAATGAAGAGGTTCAGCCTTTGCAGCAAGTTTGTAATCGACTCGTATTTTGCTCAGACGGGCAGAAGAAACCTCGCTCACCTCTCCGGTATCACACCGCAGAACGCATTCTTCCAAAGGCAGCTTAAGTTTAATAGGGTGAGGATAAGGAAATATTTGATTGTTTCATCGTGTTCCCTTAAAGAAAATCATTAAAATTTATAAACGTAATAAATAGTTGCTTTCAAATTTATTATACATATTATTAATTATTCTTAAAAAATCTTACGTAATACATTGACAATAAAAAATATTACATATATATATGTTGAACTTATTAATTTAGTATTTTCATATAACTTTTAGTTACTGAACACAACTTCAGCCTTGAGAAATGTTGAACCACCAAAACGAGAAAAGGCGTCGGAAAAGGGCATCATTACGTGGAAAACATTTGGAATCACTGCAGTAATTGGAGGAGGACTTTTAGCATTCATGCTTTACATAAAAAAGGAAAAAGAACTTGGTAGGTGAATTCAAACATGAGTATTTTTAATTATGAAATTAAATCATATAAATTGTAGCGATCGCCAGAGAGAGAAAGAGAGCTTTGGGAAAGATCTCAATTGGAGGAAAATTCAAATTGTCTGATTGTAAAGGCAGAATTCGCAGCTCCGAGGATTACTTAGGCCACTGGTGTCTAATTTACTTTGGATTCACTCACTGTCCAGACATCTGCCCAGATGAAATTGAGAAAATGGTGGCCGTTGTTGACAAAATTGGTAAAGCCTTAAGATTATCAGAGCCTGAATATCTATAAATTATGTTTTTAGATAAGGAAAAGCAAGTAAAAATTCAGCCGATTTTCATCTCTGTTGATCCTGAGAGAGACACGCCAGCAATAGTTGGAAAATATGTTGCAGAGTTCTCACCCCGTCTTTTAGGATTGACGGGCACCAGAAAGCAAATTGACGAAGTTTGTAAGGCCTACCGTGTATATTCAAGTGCTGGTCCACGAGATCAAGAAGATGATTACATTGTAAGTCTTTCAAATATTTAAAATTTTTTTTTATAAATCCTTTTCAATAAGGTGGACCACACTATCATAATGTACTTAGTCAATCCTGATGGAGAGTTTGTGGACTATTACGGCCAAAACAGAAAGCCAGAGGAAATCTTCAACAGCATAAATATCCATGCCCTTAAATATGAGAAAATGAATAATCCAGGCTGGTTCTGATTTGTTAGCATTTACTTGTTGGCCTTGTATATCAGAGATGGTATTTAATTTCCTGTATAAATTCACTGAGAGAAACTAACAAATTAATTAAAACTATGCATATGAGAACAAGAAAAATTTGATTTTGTAGCCTAATTGAAAGAAATCCAACTAAAATTTACATGGCTTAACCTACTTTATTACAATAATCTGAAACATGGAAGCATTTTTAAAATGGCAGGTCATAAAAATCCAAGCGTATCGATTAAAATAGTAACAATTCCAGTTACAGTATAAAGTTAATTTTTTTTTTTTATAAATAACTTGCTTTAAATTAATTGGTGCTAGGAACTATGTCGAGCACAAGTACCCTGCAAAGTGTTTGCAAACATTCTACATGGCTGTCCATTAACACACCTTGCGCTACACAGTGGCCTTGTAGGCGTTCCTGAACGTGACGGGGTTGAGCTAAAATTGTAGTTTAAAAGAACACATCAATAAGTCGGGATATAATTTATTATAAAGACATACTTTCTTGAGCGCCTGGAATAAACAGATCCTCGTCTGACTAAGTTGCTCTCACGATTAATAATCTGGAATTAATAATAGAACAGTGACCTCATTTAGTGGCTAAATGGGAATTATAAAATAATCTTGACTTACGCTTGGCAAGTTATCAGTCTCCTCGGCCAAGCCACTGTCGCTCTCACTTGACATTTCATCAGAGTCATCAACTCTTTGTGCAGTAGTTTCTTTCTTTCCTGCACCTAAAGCTGAAATTTTTTTAAACGGAATACAAGTCATTATTTTTCATTACCTATAAATGGTGCTAGTTTTCCCCACGCATTATTCTTCAGTTTTAAATACCACTGGAGTTTTGTCAAATTTTGTTGAGGTTGACTGGGCAATTTGGGTCTCAAGCTCAGCAAAAGCATGAATATTTTGTGCAGTAGTGATCCAAAAATTATCAAAAACGTAGTTGCAGGCAATGGAATTGCTGCTTCGGCGCCATTCGTTGTGAGCAAAAAAATATTATTTGCGGTCAGCACAACAAGGAGTACCTTTGTGCAGTATGGCGCTCCAATGAAGGCTATGAGCAGCATTGAGATGAGCAGGAAGCACAAATGAATGAGTGAAGTAATATAAGTATCTAAAAATTGAAGTAACAAAATGTAATTTTTTTTACCATTTTACTTAAATATTCAACATACCTGATCCCCCCAAAATTTCAACAAAAGTATTCAGTCTCATGTTAATCTCGTTGTGCGTTGTAGAAAATAAATTTTGAAAGTAAATAACAGAAGCATTGATAACCTGCAAGCTCTGCAGCGTTGCCGCGTTCAGGTGCATAGTTGACTCGAGTTGATTTTTCATCTTTTTCGTCCCTTGATCTAAAAAATAAAGAAGTAAAATTGTCTTTAAAACATTTTTTTTCTCACCAATTTCTTTCCAAATTTCTGCCACTCTTTCGTGCAACTTTTTCACATCAGCAGCCAGCAAGTCCTGGTGAAACTTCCACTCAGTGTTGCGCTTATCAATCTCATCATTGGCGTCATCTAAAAATAAAAATACTTGTGATATTCAAGCTCATTTAAATATGCAGCATTACATAATTTTTGGGTGACCAAATTTGCAGTGGCAGTCAGTTGTCTTTGCAACGAAACAAGCAGTGACCTTTCGTAGGCCAGATCACGGAGCCTATTTTGTACAAACAACTCGGTTTGCATTTGCAGCTTTTTTAACATCAACTGCTTCTGCAAAAAAGCATTTTGTTCTTCTTCTAATTTGTGAACGATTTCATCCGTTGTGATGCCCAGTTTCTCTTGCTCAGCCTAAAATTAGGATAATAAAATCGAATTGATGACAATTAAATAGCAATATAAAAGCAACCTTTAAGGCTTGAAGTGAATCGATATGTCCTTTTGTTGAGGCCATCAATTTGTTGATGGTCATTTCAGTAAGTGCGTTAAACTGAGACGTTCTTGCTGCAACACAGAGTGATCGAGCCCTGTTATTCATCAGATGGTAAGTGTTCCACGTCTCAGGGTCCATTCCTTCTGTGCATCTTCGCAATCTCATCTCATCAGTGCATTTAAACTCTGGGCGTCCTTCATAAACTAGCTGGCAATTGAGAAGAGCAACACTTATCTTGCCAAGCTGTTCCTCTGTTAGCGAGGAGCAGGACGTTTTGAGGTTGAAAACAATGGACTGCTGACATTTTTCAAGAGGTGAGGCTAACGTCAAACCAAAGTATTGTGCTTCTTGCAGAAATCTTCAACAATTAAAATAATTAAAATAAATGAGAAAATAATTCTAACATTTTTACCGCTCGTCAACAGTTAAAGTCTCAAAAGGAACTTCAGCAGGGAGCTCAATGTTTTCAGCATCAACATTCTTGCTGGCAAAATCAAATCCTTGCAGACCCGATCCTCCTTTCTGACCCCATATCCAGTCTGCGATGCTGAAGGTTGTGCTGAATGGCAGACAGGTGGTGGTGAAAAATAGGTAGAAGAGGAACTTGTAGAATGACTGCATTTTTCTTCACGCCCTTTATGCCGATTACTGTGGTGACGGTGTTGATTGTGATTGTGCATTTAATTTTATTTGCCCTCGAAGAGAACGGCCAAGGTTACCTAAGAATTGCGAAAGATTTAAAAATAGCAAGCGATAATCAAATTGCAACATTTTTAAAACACACATCTTCAATCAGGTGAGACGATTTTGTAACGAAAGCAGATTTTAAATTATAAAATATAAATATCACATGAAAATCCCCAAAAATACTATGTTAAAATTTTTGATCTTAAATTCAGTTGATTTTTGTAATAAAGTACATACCCCAGTTGCCAAAACTGACTTTTATCCGGATATTATCCTCTCCAGAGAGGGTAATATCCGGATAATTTTTCGATTTTGGCAGCTGGGGTATCTGCAGCAGTAAATTTCAACGAATACCAGCAAAACTAAAAAAAACCCAAGCACCATGCGACTGATGTAAACAAAGCTAGTAGAGCCAATTTTACAAACAAGATGCGCTCGATGGCCATAAAATAACCCGCAAAATTTAAATTCTCATTATTTTTTTAAGTGAAAGATGGCGCCTCATCGAGTCACGTACATATTTACCTTTCTGAAGACAAGAGTAATTTTGAAATTTCCGCGGTACCAAAACCGAGTGTGGGGAGGAGGGCACAAATCGTGCCTCCTTATGAATCACCCCTTTCTTGTTCTTTCTAAAAAGCAGTTCCCAATCCAAGGTTGCTGCCGACGAGGCCTCCCACCCATCTCCCACCTGCTACACCAGCGGCCGCGGCCATTGCCCATCCAACCGAGCCTGCTCCTTCAACCAGCTCTTTGTGGTTGCGATTTTAATCAGCACTGGGTGGCCAACAAACAACATTCCGTGACATTTCCCGCAGGAGCAGAACGGGATCGTCGCCTCTTACGTGCCCTGCCTTCGATTTCTTTCACCGTGAGTTCCTGTAAATTGTATCTTTACAAACACACGTATACTCTTTGCTACGGCCCGTGGAGAGACAATTAAGAGATTATGTGAGTGCGTATACATCATCATTATTTATAATCCTGCGGTAAAGGGGTCGCGGTCTTTGAGCTCCTGAGACTTTCTTCTGGAAACGAATCCGTGGCGTTCATATCCCGAGACAATTCTAATCGTCTTCCTCGCGTTTTGTTTTGCACTATCGCAAGGTCAATCGTGTTTACAAAAATTAAAGTCCATGTCAGCAAGAATTTAAGGCCTGCTTATTGACATCTACAACTCCTATTTGCGGCAAATCGGCCCGAAATTTTTGGACCCAGATTTTTTTATAGATTCCTACCTATCAGTAGAGTTGATTGCACAAAGAAAAATGGGGGGTAGCGCCGATTATTCTTGAAATATGATTTTTTGAATTTTTACATTGCGTCTTATGGAAATTTTTGTTTTTGGTGATTAAAAAAAAACTGCCCGAAATTTTTTGCTCAAAATTTCACAAAATGATAAGCGAATGACCCTAAACAGATTAGCAGAAAAAATTTGAGGGTTCATGGGGCAAAAAAATAACATTGGGCATATGTGCGATCAAAAAAAACCTCCTTGGTACTCTTAGCATTGCAATAAGGAGTCCTTAACTGCAGCGGGCGAGGCGTTCGTGCGTTTTGGAGAACGGGGCTTCTTTCATTTTAATTATTCCTCTCGTGCGAACTCTCGGGAATTTCGGCCGTGCGAATTCGTTTCAACGATCGGGGTCGGAGTTAAGCTTTTTAAGAGGCCACCTGTTTGATGATGACGATGTGTGCTCCACAAAGGTGATCTATATGAACGTTGTTGCAGTGCCTTTCCACCCACGCAGATCAATCAAAATTAACAGCACATTTTTATTTGCTTGGTTAGCTAATTATTCTATGCGCTATAAATTTCTTCTCAAATTTTTTGTTGAAGATTTTTTATCGCGATTTCATTCTAGACAATTTTTAATGACTTTGTACTGGAAAAGTAAAATGTAATGAGAAATTTAATTAGATTATAAATTTAATAAAGAGCTGCACAAGATTTTGTAAAAAACGGGTAATTGTAAGATTAGAACTCTAGGGATAATTCAAAATATTCAGTTTATGTTATAAATACACGTAATGCTAAAAATATCTCTTCATTATTTTGGTATTGTATAGATTTTCATTATGATAAGACGGGTACATAATTTTTAATCCACAGAAAGTTCTATCAAAAAAGTGTTTTGAAAATAAAAGAGAAAGTCTTTTAGCATTTAATATTTTTTGTTATTTCACAATTTCAAATTGTTTTGGGATATTTGGTATTTATTTGCCCTTATTTCAAGCTATCGAATAATACTGTATTTATAGAAATAGCATAATTAATTACAAACTTGAGAGTTACAGTGTTTTTTTCAATCCATATTTAGATTAATTAAATGTTGGCATTCATCATCATCATCGTGATACCAGTCAACGGTTTTGGAATTCGTTTGACGTCAATATTAAATGTCCAACTTGTCAACTTTGAATTCCCAGGATCGTTCTGTGTTTTTTTCTTGTCACTAAAATTTTTGCTCTTTTTGGGAACGGCAGGAAATGACAAGAATTTAAATTCAGCGCATGACTCACTTGTAAGATTACCATACCGAGTTTATACAGGCGCGTTCAGACCTTTCACTTTTGCTATCTTTTTGGTGAGCCGCTGGGCTCCAGCAGCACCTTTTACCTTTGACACTCTTTTCAACCCAGCTGCTTTGTCTCGCAGGATAATGTGACATCGAGGCACAGGGGCTGACTGTCCTGCTCAAGAGCGCGCCCGCCCGTCTTACTGCAGCACCTGCGATGGCGGGCCGCAGAAAATCATCAGCCCTCAACGAGGCGCACGCGAACTCTGTGCAAAACAATCCCTTTTCTAATGGTGAGTTTTCATTTTTTTGTTTATTTATGAATTTTTTAGATTTTTAAGACTATTGATAAAATACAAAATTCATTAAATATGTTGTGGAGTTTCTTTAGTTTTTTATACTTTTTCTTTCATGGCTTCTTTTGTAATCTTTTTTGCTTTTTTTTATTTTAATTATCATTGTGACCCAAAAATTAAGCGCTAAAAGATTCATATAATTTTTTTAATCACTTTGAAGCTTTGCTTCATGTTGCTTAAGTATTAGTTCTGGTTGTAGTCATACTTTCAAATTAACTGAATGGAGGATTGCTTTGAAATATTCACAAGAAATAAAGGATTTGAGTTAAAACCTACTAATGCGTATTGAGCTTCAAAACAGAAGTCGTTGGACACATTATCAAGCATGATAAGCTAATAGATTAATCGCACTTCTCAAGTGTAAATAATTACCGGGGGAGTGATTGGTGATCCACTTGTCAGATTTTGCGAGTGATTTTAATTGATTTGAGAAACATTGATTAAAAAATTCCTTAAGACGTAATGAAAAACTTTGAAATTTGCCAAAATTTTTAATTATTTTGCATATTTTTTCATGTATTGTCTCTTTCTGTATGCTTAAAGGAGCAAACAGAGTGTCATTCAGAAATGCCTCGCAGGCACTTTTAATTATTAACGAGGAATTGTGTGGAGAGCTGAGTGCAAGCCGAGCAAAGGCCACTCTCGGCGTGTGTTTTCCGTCGCAATGCAAATCTTTGGACCAACTTGATGCACTGCCGCTCTCGTCGCACGATATGCACTTGTTGATATTAAAGATTTACAAGTGCGGGCATGCGCCGTGCTCTGGGTAAGGGTTGCTGCAAACGCGGAGCTATAAGCACCATTTAGGGTGCAGATCGATCGCGTTTGGCTTTATGTAGGAAGAGCGAGAGCGCGGTCGGTGGGGCGAAGGTGCTCAGGCAGGGCAGCCGACCCGTGTCCAGCCCAGGTGAGTCGCTGGCTCTGCATACTTTTCGGGAAGCGCCCTTGTCAAGGAGTTTGTTCCGGTTTGTTCATTTGCCAGTGGGGATGGCAAGAGGGTCGTTCTCCTCGCGCTAATGGGGCTGCGCCAGTTCAAGCCACTGGTGACACACGACAAGAGCGTTGTGTGCCTCTCGGCAACAATTGTTTGGAGGGATTCTTGGCGTCGACGTCTTTCTAAGTGTTTGGGCCAAATGGCTCTTGTTGTAGTTAAAATATAAAATAGAAGCAAATTTTTCAAGACCGTATGGGCTGAATTTTAGTTCAAGTGAATAAAAAAAATCGATATTTGAATTAATTACCATTCTTAAAAGTGCAATTGTTTAGCGTTAAAATTTTTGCAAGCTCACTCCTGAATAGAGTTTTATATAATCATCATGCTGTTTATCATTGAAAATTACTCACAACCAATTTATTGTTGTCTTTGAAATTATTTGCAAATAACGGAACAGTATAAAATGCTTTTTAGGTTCCAGATAGATTGATTTACCAAAATTTCTCTTTGTCGAACTTCAAGCATATGTGGCAATAAGATTTCCACTTAAAATTTGTTAGTTCAAAATCACATATCACTCCTCCCAAATCTTTTCACGTTTGATTCCCATTTTTTTTATTTATTTTTTTTATTTTTTGAGTAATTGAAACTACATATTTGATTGATTTGGGTCTTGAAATTTTAAAAGAAATTATTGGAAATATCAGACTTCTAATCTAATTGTAAATGTTAAAGTAACTTGTTGATCTGTGTTCACAGATGAGTACCACAACAGTGCTGACGATAGTGATGAAGACGTGATCACTGACTACCTTGCAATCACGGGCGCCTCAACGAGCTGTGACGGAGCCATGGCTCACCAGACCTCAGGGCCGCTGGTGCCAATCATCAGCGTCACCCCACACTCTCCCGCATCAATGCAATACCCTGTACTAGGTTTGTCTATTGAAAATTAATTATTAAAAAAAATATTGAAAGTGTATTTGTTTCTCAGATGACAATATTTACCAGCTGCACGCAATTCATGAGTGCATTCAACAAATGCGCGAGACATCAGCGCAGGCCTTCAACCAGCAGGTAATATTTTTTTGTTTTTCTGATCCAATCACTTGGAAAATTCACACTGTTTTGTAATCAAAGATGCTGCAGCTGAACCAGTACTCGCGATTGAGTGTGTCGTGCCCAACTTTGAACGATGGAACTGCGGAGGCCGACTTTACAACATCGGTCAGTTCGTCTCCAACCCAGCAGGAGTCGGGCAGCCAGTTTGGCAGTGCACATAATACTCCACAAGGATTACCTTCATCTACCTTTAGAGGTAGTCTGGTCCATATCAATATTGTGATGAGTTAATCATTCTCTGTTGCAGTTAATTTAGAGGAAATTTTTACAAAGAGGAATGGAGAAGAGCCCAAAAGGAGAAGGAGCTGGACATCACTGAGTGATGTTAACTTTAACAAAAAGAAAATGGAAACTGAAAGGCAAAGGAGGTTTGAGCACACTATAAGTGTTGTATTTAACTTTTAATTTGAATTTTTCAATTTGATTTGCAGTAGTATTAGTCTGAGCAGCATGGACTCGGACCAGGATGACCCGTTCTCAGATCAACCGGAAGTAGAGGCTACAAACAGCACAATGTATTTGGTCAACAACAACAATGGCACCAAACTTATCAGGCCGACTGCAAACGCAAAAAATCGACGCGCCAGTGGCACCTTGAGTCCTGTGAACTGCAACCTGTGGAATCTTGGTGGCGCCTCCACTCACTCCCTTAATGAGGAGGATCTTCTCGCAAGTTTCTAGCTTTTGTTGCCAGTCAAATTCTAATTTTTTAAATCTGAGCAGAATGACTTCAACAAAATTGTTGCTTCAAGAGAAGCAGAGAGGTTGTTGCCAGCCAGACTTCCACTGCAGAAATCAGTTTCAACACCATCAATAATTGCTGTCAGAGATGTTGCAAATGAAAATGCAGCAGCTGCTACTGCAGAGTGAGTGGACCTTAAGAGCTGCTGAATAATTGTTATGTTTGTCCAATGCAAGATTATGGCATGATTGTCGTGGACTATGTTTTTATTTTTTCGTTTTATTATTTTCAGTGAAAAAACTGAGCCTCTGCATGCTTCCATTCTGAATCCTACTGATAAGCATGAGTAAGTTTCATAGCCTGTTGGTTCTGGCTTATAATTTTTTTTTTTAAAGAATTTATTTTAAGTCATTCTCCTCTTTTTGTCTTGCAACTTAAATTTTTGAAAAATTACTAGCAGCATGATTTATGCTATTAGTTGTAAGATTTGATTTTAGTTTTAGTTGCTATTTTGTTTTATTTTGGATCAGTAGTGGAGGAGTACAAAGGCCTAGCGGTACTGAGAGTGAAACAGAGGAGGACGTGCCGGGTGATATTATAATGGATATTGGGAGCAACAAATTGTTTCCATATCCACTCAAGTAAGTAATTTTTAGTAAAAGCTTTTTACATCATTCAAATTCTGAATTCTCAACTGATTATTTTTTATTATTAATTCATGCATCAACATATTTTAGACCTTCAACTTTTGAACTTCACGAAGGGAAGCAAAGAAAAAGAGGAAGCATATTCTTCAGAAAGAAAAAGGTATTACTTACTTAGTATTTGATATTTTTCACAACCAATATTAATAGGACAAGTCGAAAAAAACTGTGCATCAATGGGTGGCCGTTTCATATGGATCACCACATGGCTGTGACTGGTGCTCAAAAGTACTTACCAACAAACCAGCACTATATTGTGAAAGTGAGTGTAGGATGCCATTTGAAGTTAATAGTTTTCAGATATCTCAGCAGATAGAGAGCTATTGAATTGCCAATAACTTTTTATCTTATCAGCCGACAAGCGCTTGCATTTTTTTAACGGGATCCCTGCTGTAAATCGTGTTGAGCCTCAGTTTCTCAGTTATGTCTAACTATGTTGAAATTTTAGGCTGTGCTGTGACAGTGCACCAAAATTCATGCATGGACCAGATTGGAGAATGTACCAAGACCAAAACCACAAAAGTAAGCAAATAATATTAAATGAGCACCCCTCGGTTGCTTAAAACTTATTTTGTCGTGCGTGTCTGCAGAGCAACCTTGCAAAGGTAGCCGGCGGTTTAGGTAGTCATCTTCCAGGCACCAAGATGCAAGGCAAGCGAAGCGTAGGCTCAACCCCACCACAAAACACCAACAGGTTGGTCTTTTTTATTTTTTATTCTTTCATAATATATAGTAAGACCATGCTACAGCTCACTTGAAACTTGAAAATAATTTTTGCAAAAAAAAAACACAGCACACTTTGAGGTTTAGAGGAATCACCTTTATTAGCATATTTAAAAATTTATTTTGCATGTTGTATGATTTAATGCAATTTTACCGTTGATTTGTCTTTAAAACTAAAACTCCCCTAATTTTAAGTAGATTTAAAACAAACCTGTAGGTAATCCCAGCAAATTATGACTGCACACAAATCATAAAAATTAATTTCCAGCATTGTCTAAACTGACATCATTTTGCCACACACAGCTTAAATTGCAATTTTACTTGGCAGTGGGCTTAAAAGTTGATGCAGAGAATGCGCCATATGCAAATATACAAAAAAAAATTGCTCTTGTCAGCAAAAGAATAGTTTTTCTTTAAGGAGATCATGCTTTTTGCATTTCAAAAGCGGTCTGGCCTTTGTTTCAATAGACGCGACTGTTCTTGTTTGTTACATAAGTTTCCACTTTGGTGCTCTAATTATGTTGCTTTCCAACATGCTCACATGATAAATAGGAGAAGTACTTGCTATTCACAGTGGAGAAGAGTAGCAACAAAACTCGGCGTTAAGTAAGTCACTAACCAAAGCAATGGCAGAGTTTTTCTATCCGAAGACTACTTTTCTTCTTCTCTTCAATTATTTTTATTACATCTCTCCTTGTTGATTGTTTTTGATCAGCGTTTGTTCATGTGACTTTTCATCTCTTCCAAACGCTAACTCTTAAATTTTATTTTTCCCTGAGCTCCATACAATTAATTATTTTCCGAAACTAAAATTAACATCAAGACGGGGTTAAGAAATATTGATTAGGAAACATAAAAAGCGCAATTTGTCAAGATATGCTTTTGCTATTATGCTAGTTATTTTTTGTGCAATTTAAAGCTAATATTCCCGTACGAAAATTATAAACAGCAGCTACTATAATCACAATTTATCTTTGCACCAGAACTGAAAAAATATCCAACATTGCATTTAAAATTTTTCTATTTCATACACAGTCTAAGACATAGATACAAAATTCCACAGAATTAGAAGAACGTGTTCTAAACACTTATTCTCAATGCATATTCTCACACAAATATCTTAATTATTAATTAATAATGAATAATTACAAGTTATAACCTTGTTTTAATGATTATTTTTCTTTAATGCTTCTTCAAGTTTAGATTTACTGAATAGTTATTGCAATTTTTATTTTAAGATGTTGCAATGAGCTCAATTTGTTACAGCCAAATTATTAATGAGGAAAAGGAAGCAGACCACTTTCACAGACATCATCACGGACACCATGATAAGTGAGTTTTCCTGATTTTTAAGTTTAATGATTCCGTGTTCTAAATTTTCAATTTCAGTTTTTCTGATGAGGCTCAGCTTCTTCACTTTGAGTTTTTAGATGAAAGTAAGTTTGCTAAATAAGCACAAAGCAGCCTGTATTTTGAACTGAAAAATTCTCTCACGTAGGCCCAATTACTGCGCAAGACTTAGAGACGGACCCATTTCTTGGACTTCATGAAGATGAGCCTGACTCATGGACACCGACTGTTGGGAAGGAGGTGAAATAATAGCAAAAGTTTTTTATGTTCTTAAAGAACATTTATTCCGTCATCAGGTGACTAGGAAACTCAAAGATAAGGAGATTAAGAGACAGGAACACATCTACGAGTTCATCCTGACTGAAAAAACACACTGTTTGACTCTTCGAGTTATGCAAAAGGTGTTTGTGGAGGGCCTGCAAAAGTATTTCCAACTGGGCAACCTTGTCGACAGAATGTTTCCACGTCTGCAAGATTTAACAGAAATCCACCTTTCCTTCCTCTACAAATTGCGTGAAAGACAAAAGTCGAGCACTCCTGTCATCGAGTCTATTGCCGACATTGTACTTGAACAGTTTTCAGGCGAGGAAGCTGCAAAGCTTAAATCGGCTTACGGCGAGTTCTGCAGCAGGCATAGGTAAAAACGGCTGTTCTTGCAGCGCACACACATTATTGTTATTGATTTGCAGAGACGCGGTTGACTTGTACAAGGACTGCCTGCACCAGGATCAGCGATTCGGAGAGTTTGTCAAGCATTGCCAGACCAACCCATTGTTAAAGAAGAAGGGGATCCCTGAGTGTGTTCTTTTTGTCACACAAAGACTTACCAAGTACCCTCTTCTTATTGAACCACTCATCAAGACTGCCAAAGACAATAAGCCTGAGCAAGAGAAGCTCTCTAGGGCACTAGCCTTGGTCAAAGTGAGTTTATCGTCGATCATTTTATCAATACTTTTTTCTGCAATCTGCGTATTTTCACAGGAAATACTAGTTGAAGTTGATGCACAAGTAGCAGAAAAGGAGAAGGAAGACAGGAAGCTGGAGATTTACAACAGGATTGATGCTAAATCTTTTACAACTTATAGAGGAAGCCAAAAATTCAAAAAATCGGACATTCTCTCAGCAAACAGAAAATTAAAGTGAGTTTTGTTTTCATGCCCTAGATAGATGATAATTTATTTCTTCATTTTAATTCAGGTTTGAAGGTTATGCAACGCTGATGCAAGGGAGGAACAAGATGCAACTCGTGCTGGTTATTGTTCTCTCTGATGTCTTGTTCTTCCTGCTCGACAACAACAACAAGTACACATTCTTCACGCCGGACAACAAGGCTGGCGTTGTCTCTCTGCAAAAACTACTGGTCCGTGAAAAGGCAGGCCAGGAGTCTCGAGGCATTTATTTGATCTCATCAAACCCTAACGACCCAGAAATGTTTGAGCTAAAAGTGATTAAGCCCAAAGAAAAGCTGGCATGGATCAACGCAATCCGGCTAGCTGTCCAGCAGTGTCCGGAGGAGGACGAGGAGAAACCTGCACTTAGCAATGAGGAGAAGCAAAAGCTGCTCCACACAAAACAAATGCAGATCCAGCAAATTGTCGGTGAGTTGGATATACAATTTAATTAGATGCTGTAAAAAAATGCTAACTGTCCTGGCGGTCTTGTCATCAATCGTTTAGATTTAATCATTATCTTTGAATCTCCAAATGAAATAAAAAATGCTTACTCTGGGAACAAAAGAAGTAAAAATAATTTTTATCTAAGATCGCTGAATTATTTTGCTTTGCCAATATTTAATTTAAAATTAGAGCGCAAAAAAACTAAATAGTATGAATTTAAATAATCAAAGCTTGTACATTTTATTGCAACCATAAATATTTACATGGCCATTTCCCATTTTCATATGTATATCCAAAGACATCTGTATAGGATTTGAAGGTAAATTTTATATGTAGCACTGTGTTTTAACAAATTCACTATAACACTAATAGCAGTGAATGTGAAATATTGCAATTAAAAAAATATTTTTACCTAATTCTGTGCGCAAATAATATTAGCAACTCCAAATTATTTGTACTTGGTGGTTTAAGTGGACTTGGTTTTAGGATACTTGTGATTTGTGAGAGTGATTAAACTACACAATAAATTTCAGAGCGCATGATTCATTAGCATAATATATCATGTTTAAAAAAAAATAGATTCTTGTCCCATTGTTTTTGAAACTTAACCATAGATGAGCAAAGTTTAGCATGTTGCTTTGATTGTGGGGTGCAGTGTGGGGTTTTCACAATTTTTCATAAACCATGTTCCCTATAAAATTATTGAATGCTTCATCAGGCGTCCTGAGGCAGAAGGATTTGGAACAAGCGCTTATTCTTGAGGAAAAGATGGCCTTGCAGTTGAAACTGTTGGCCGCTTCGGGTTTGGAAAACTTGCCCGAGCCTCCGACGTACAGTCATATCGTTGCAGAAGATGCAGACACCAATGCTTTATGGAAAGAAGTGTTGACTGCTTTCCACGTACGAAAAATAATTGTAATCACATATAAATAAATTATAAATAACCAATTGAATGCAGGAGGTTAACCAATTGGCAAGCACCCTGTATGCGTCGGGCACCAACCTTTCTCGCAGCGTAAGCTCTGTGGGTGAGCACCAGAGCGAAGCTTACATCTCGCCCACACTACCAAAACGGGCAGAAACATTTGGAGGATTTGACAATGCCAACAAAGAGCAGTTGCAAGCATTTTTAAATAAGGCGTTTGGTAAAAAACAAAATCAAAAAGATCAGTACGATGGAAGTTCAGCCTCCATTCCGGAAGGAAAAGTTGCTCCTCAAGGACAAAAAACCCCAACTGTAAGAAGTTAAATTTTTTATATTTGAATCTTTAAATCTAAATCTAATTTAAAAACAGGAACGAATGTTGTGGAAGAATTTTCATCTCTCGCCTGTCACGCCTGGGCTGACAAATGCAAACCAACTACCAAGTGACGGTGTTTGTGAGATGCCCCAACTGATGCCTTTGAGTCAGGAGCAGCAAATGGCTGCAGTCAGACTGTCCCATTACCTGTACACACTTTTGAGCATAATTTCACATCAAATGACCACCATAGATAGGTACAATTAACAGTTAATAATTACTTGCAAATGAAACTAACTTGTACATTTATTTCTGCAGCATGCAAGCCAGCCTTTCAGCTTTCAAGCACACTCAGGAGGACAAAAAGCCTGTCTACAGACACAACCAGCAACTGGAGGAGTTGCGGAATCTGCAGGACAAACTGACCCAAGAGCGAGAAGCGTGGAGTCGGGTCAAGGAGGCCGAAGAACGGGACCTGGAGGAGAGGCGGTCAGAGCTTACTAAACTGCAAGACCGACTCAACTCAGAACAAACCGACATCATACAACAGAGAGAAACTCTGCACCGCCGGCTGGAAATGCTCACTAGCCAAGGCATCCTTATTAGCCCCAATATGCCTATGGTTATTGCAGCCAACTCTGAAGAACCAGAGTCACCTGGAAATGCTTCAAATCTTTCAAACGCCAGTACAGCTGCAGCTTCAACCCCTTCACCCCCTGCTGAGTCGAGGAGGAAATTCGACATCAAGTGGAAATCGCAGTCGCAGGCACCAAGCAATGGGAGCAAAAGCAACTTGCCGCTGAATCTGATTAGCGCCACCAATATGCAGAAGTCTGGACAGGGCATGCAGGTAATAATACAAATTAAATCAGAGAACTTTCCCTAATAATTTTTTTCTTTCCTCTTTATCATTTATTAATTCTTCTGTTAATTTTAATATTTTTAACGCATAGAAGCTCTGAAGTTTTCCCAGAAATATCTTGTTACAAATATAATATTTAAATTTCAAAAGAACATTATTTTCAACTTTTTCCTTGCAAATCATGGAAGCTCATAAATTAAATTATCAGTTTTTTCTGTTTATAATTTAAAAATGATTGATTTAGCCATTAAATTAAATTTTATTTACAAATTCATGTGTAGGTCAAACAGCAGTTGCCGTTAAAACTGGCAAAATTGGGTGGCAGCTCAAGTTCGAGCAGCACCTCTTTGCCCGCTCATGGGCGTGATGGAGTCCAGCAGATGTTGCCCATGAAGCTCAGTCAGGCCGATGCAAAGCAGCCGACAACTTCGCCAGGGGGCTACCACAGGCTCAGCTCAAACAGCTTTGGCCCTGCCTCGGCAAGCCCCAAGGAGGCAGCCTCACATTCTTCCAATGCACCCACGCACGTCCGAACGGGCAGCAGTCCGGCGATGATGCAGGCGCACCAACCCGGCGTGCCATCAGTGGCAGGCAGCACCTTGCCGTGGTCAAATGCAGACAAGAACCCTACGCTACCAGCCAACTCGAAAACTACTCAAAAGTCTAATGAAGAGGAGGTGATTTACTTTTGAATCTTCCAGCAGATTTTGTCACTCACACAGGCCTAATGTTTGTTCGTGGCTTTTAATCTTAATGTTATTTTGCAATTATTATACAATCGTACACTATTGTTTTGGTACACATTCCAGTCTCTTTTGACATTATTCAATAATATTTATTTAAAAGTATCTCTTCAAATAGGAAGAACATGTCTGTCTTAATGAAAAAGATTTTTATACATCTTCCTTGCAATAAAAAAACCATGCTCGTAGAAATTCCTATTGAAAGGCTAAAAGTGTAATTTTAATTAAATGCATATATAGAAAATCTTGCAATAAACGTGGAAATGAAGCGAAATGCATATGAGATGGATAATAATTATGTACTTAAATGACTCAAATTATGTTATTGACAATTCTTAAAGGCCATCTCTTTCTCAATACCAGCATATTCCGTTCAAAGTAAATAGTGTTAGGTGTAACCTCACTGGAAAAGCGTAGGCAAATAAGAATTGTACAATCTTTCCATTTGAGTTGATTATAATTAGATGTACCAAGATGTGCTACATTTTGTCCACTGTTTTCAAACCACTTAATTTACGATTATTTAATTTATATTTTCCCTCAACACACTAATAATTATGTAATAAAATCCAATAAAAATTACAATTATGGAGATATAAATAATTGTTTTGCTCTGATGCACCTAATTCCTGTGTGACATTGTCTGCGACTGGGTTGGGACACCAAATTTCTGGCTTGGAGTCTAAACTCATGTAATGCTGTGTGCAAAAATTTCAATGGTAAGGTACATTATACATTTGCCAACAAATAGTGCAAAAAATAGGACCAAATTTAGCAATTAAGTTGTCACATGAGATGATTGATCGTACTTTAGACTATACATATCTCTTTATTGAAGGTAAACAAAATATGAAAAATCTGCAAATGAGAAACATTTTTAACAATGAGCTTACAATTGTTAATAATAAATTTACCGGAAGAAATTTCTGACTATTATCCTCTCAGTCAAAATTATATTATGTAATGTGTTAAAATCTTGTAACTAGTCTTGATCATTGCAATTATTTAGCCATTAATATTGATCATTTTTATATATAATTGACAATTTTCACCCTTAGAAGTTTTAAATTAAATTCCCCCACCAAAAAAGATTTTAGATGTAATTTAATAAGTAACAGAATATTCACAAAATTACATTGATTTAATAAGGCATGCATTAACCTTTACGAGCTATCGCTTTGGGCAAACATTTATAAAGCATTCTTTTTTTCAAAATTACTCAAATAATCTGAAAAGTAATTGAAAATATAAGACTAGACTCTCAATTAAAGAAAGGTATGAGACATGGCCTTTTCAAACGCATCCTCATCATCATCACTTGGAGTCATGTTTGATAACTTCAAGTGCTCCTCATGATCACCAGTTTCTGGGTCTGGAGGTACAGGAAGGCCGAGTGTCACACAAGCCATTATTGGAAGTTGTTCTGCATTTGACAACAACTGCATGTACATTGCTTCTGCTTTACTCAAAATGGCCTCACGGTCAATGTTCATTGACAAGCTGTTGACGTGCTGCAAAAATAATATGAGTTTAAAACCTTTCCAAGCAGATTTTATGTTTTCGACACTTACAGCAAGGATATCAGACAGTCCATTCTCATTAGCCATTATTTCTTCCCGTTCAGTCTCAAGAATAGCAATGCAAAGCAACAGATGAAAATTGCGGCAAGGGAGATCAGTCCAAAGGACCTAAACATAATTAATAAAAATGTAATGTTAGTTTTAAATTATTATCTTAAAAAAAAACTAACCTCCCATATCACCATAATGTCGTCATTAGTGAACTCTCTCTTGAACAAAACCAGAAGCCAACGAAAGCAGAAAAAGAGATTTCCTGATTCGTGAGAGTTGAGATAATTAGCAAGGACCGGATCAAGGATTTGCAACAAACAGGCCAACTGCAGCAGCTGCTCTTTCATGCTTGTTTGCTCCAGCATAAAATTACCCATCTAATGAAGTTTTTAAGTTGAATTTGTTTTGTAAGCTATAATAAAAAACATACAACTTTTTCCATAAAACCAACAAAGCACCAAAATGCATCATGCTCATTGTCCATCAGCATCAATATCGGACTAAGAAGGTCGCTCATGCCTTGCACGTAGCCCAGGTCAAAGTTGTACATCATGTAGCTCATGAGAATGTTGTTCAAGCTTTCCAGGTTGGGATTGTCATCCCCGGCAAAATAATCTATGGTTCTATCAGTTCTGTTCACATCCTTGCCTTTTATAAATAGATTGTTAATATATTTTTAAATAGAAACATATTCAATGCGTAGACTAACTTATGAGACTTTTCCTGTCTTTGAATAATGAAAATCTGTCCTCCTGCTCAGGTGTGATGCTACGCCACTGTTGGCAAAGAGTCTGGTACTCCTGGATTTTCTTTTTGCGCAACTCAGCTGCTTCTGTTTGACTGCAGTTGTAGGGAATATAGTTCAGCAAGTATTTCCAGACGTCATAACGGAGCACAGGATCTATTCCCTGAGAGTAGAATAGTAGTTAATTGAGCAAAATTAGAGCATTGTTGTCAACTTACACCACGGAAAATTGTCATTAAAAGGGTGTCTACTTTGATAACACTTCCATCTTCCTGAACATGCCTCATCCACTCTTCAACTGAAAGAGGATCACCTCTTTTTATAGTAGGTCTGAAAATTAAAAATAAATAATAAATTATTGTTTAATTTTATACAACCTAAAATACTGACCTTGGGGGAAGAGACATTGCAGGATGGTCCAGTGTAGATGGAATCACTTCGTATTCGTCACCTTGCAATGAGGGTTGACTGACCATCTCATCGTCCGGCCGCAAGGTGTTACTCAACCCTGACGCCACAACTCCGGTGAGTTTCGAAAACGCAGTCAGTGTTGTCTCAAAAGGTCTGTCATGCAAGTCTTTCATGAACCGAGCAACCAAGTTACCCTGTTCCCCAAACAAATCCAGCTCAGCGAAAGATTTGCTCAGTTCGCGATTGACACAACCCTAGTTAAGGGAAAAATAAGTTTTTTTTTTAAAGACAAATTTCAAATGAAATTACTTTAACGTAGAACTTTTGTCTGGAACGTCTAGATCGCTCAAGGATCACAAAGCTTCGGAAGGATGAGATGAACTGCTGGGCGTCTCCATGCTGGAAAACTACATCAAAAGTGGTGCCATCCTTGAGGTCAAAGAACATTTTGTTTGTGTTCCGTCTCAACTGCAGACTTTTTAAGTCTTTTACATTTATCCAAATTTTTCTTGATTCCAACTTTTCATCTGCAAAATGGGTTTTAATTTAAGTTTTTGGCAGTTAAAATTTATATTGCTAAATCACCATTGATAGAGGGAGGCTTAGGTTTTTCTGTGTTTACCACTTCCCATTCAGTTGGGTCAGACTCGACAGACAAGTTTCTTTCCTCTGGCACCCATAGTAGCCAACGATCATTGTTCTTGGGAATGAAAAATTTAGTCAATTACTTGATTAGAAGATCAAAGCACAATTCAATATATTACATGTTCCAGAACAGACAAAGTTCCTGAAGACACAAAGCTAATAAATGTAGATGAGGAGCAGGCACTTTCGCGCTCATTATACTTCTCCAGCTTTTTGACGATAACGCCATGGTGACTGTAAACCTCCTGAGAATAAAAGTTAGCTATGAAAGATTAGTTCGTAAAAATTATTTACTCGATATTACACACCTTGGCTTCATCTGGTGCTTTGTCCATTTTTCACTTCTTTGGGTATTCCAGTTCTGATGATCAGCAGTTTAGCACCCTGATATCTACAATTTTATTGTAAATTAAATAATGTAGCTTCCCAATTAGAGGCCTTATAATTTCGACCTTGGTTATTTTTATGTGCAAGTTTCCGATTTTTATCCCAGGGTTTTCGTGAAAGCTTTGTTTCGTAATTAAAATAGAAATTATTTGGAACCGAAAATTAATTGAGAGAACTCACGTGCATCTTATTACGCTTATTACGTTATGTTATGTCCTGATTGTGCAAAAGAACAGCAGTGAGTCATCCAAATGAGGATGTTTTCTATTTTCAATCTTTCTTTTGCGGATTGCGGAAAGAAAAAAGTAGAGATCTAGAGATTTGCTTGATTATTGAGAAAACAAGAAAATACCTCTGGCCCAAGCAGTTTTTGTCGCCCTCACAGGGATGAAAGTTTTGATGTCGTAAGGAGCGAAAATGACAGACTTCTTTGGTTACAATTTTCCTGGCGAGCAAAGTTGAGACTTTTTGTTTATCACCACCTCCTCCTTATGGAGTGGGGTAAATCATGGAGTTATGTTAAAAAAACCTAAATGCGTCAGAGGGTCAGAACACCAGCTGGTATAGCCTCGGGAAAAAAAAGAAAAATGAGTCGACAGCGCCATCTTCGAACAGAAACGCAAACTTCAAAATGCAGTAAAAATCTAACTGCTTGTCTATTGTCTAGTAAAGTATCTTCCTGTTCCTGATCCTGAGACTGGCACCACTTCATCTTCCTTTTTCCCTCTCGACCAACCATTGACGTCCAGCTCGAGGAAGATATTAGCATCAAATTTTAAAAATGCGAATCAGCGTGCTTAATTTTTCCATAGTACCTCCTTTTGATCGTCTCCTAAACGTACTACCCATTTTCATCACAACAAAGCGAGGAGTGCGAGGACAGCGACAGCATTCATATTTTCTTCATTGGGGTGAAAATTTAGGACCCTTTAAAAAGTATCCAATTTTGAGCTTTCCCAGCCAGAGTTTTTGATGCAATTGTAGAGATTTCTGGACAGAACTAAAGCATTAACTGGATTAACAAATGGCACACTTCGCTTTGTCAAGGGTACGTGTGTAACTGTAACTCATAAAATACATACAAAATATAACACACAACAACGGAATCTGTATAAGAGAAGATTTTCATTTTCTTATTAGTCCTTTAAAAGTGAAACTAAGGTCTCTGTCCACAACACCGATTATCGCTAGCTATGGCGGAAGCGGGTCCAAAACATTATCATTGCGGCCGGCCAGCTACTGATAGACTGCTCCTTCAATCTGTGGATGAGCCTTGATTTTTGAACATTTTTTTTCATTTTATGTATTTTGATTTAGGTTTTATACAAATCTGAATTTCTAGCAAAATTCTAATTTTACCTACCCCAAGCTATCATAAGAACATACCATTTATGAATTTGTAAAATTAACAAACAATTTTTTTTCATTGCAGTTAGGCGTTCTTGGAGCGAGACACTCTGCAGCCCTCCCAATCTCAAGAGTGAATTTGCCAAAGCAAAACTTAAAATCCTCTCTGGTCTTCAATGGAATGCAAGTCAGGTGCAAAGGCTACGCACCGATCAACCTTGGTGTCTTGTTCGTACCTCAGCAGGAGGTGATTTTTAGTACAGAGAAGTTTTGGACTCAATAGTATAATGATTATGTAATATTTTACAGGCGTGGATAGTTGAAAGATTTGGAAAGTTTCACAGAATACTTGAGCCAGGTCTCAACTTCCTGATTCCTGTCGTGGACAGAATCAAATATGTCCAGTCACTCAAAGAAATTGCCATCGACATTCCCTCTCAGAGTGCAATCACTTCAGGTAATTTCATCAGCATGTGGTTAAAAAATCATACAAAATGTTATTTCATAGACAACGTCACCCTCAGTCTGGACGGTGTGCTTTTTCTGCGGATATTGGATGCTTTCAAAGCTAGCTACGGCGTCGAAGACCCTGAATTTGCTATCTCACAACTTGCACAAACTACTATGAGGTAAATGCAAATCATCAAATCTGCACCAAATTAATTTTAGGCCTTTTAAGGCTTCATAATGTCCATAATTGATAAGATTCTATTAATATTTTTATAAATTTGTATACTCGCATACACCTTGTGGTATGTTGTAAGTTTGAACATCACTATCAAAATAAAACCATTGTAAACATAGATAGCATAGAGCACCTCAGGAAAAGTAATTGAAAACATCTCTTAAATTGTCCTCCGCAGATCTGAGCTGGGAAAACTGTCTTTGGACAAAATCTTCCATGAAAGAGAGTCGCTAAACGTGTCAATCGTTGAATCTATCAACAAAGCTGCTCTTTCCTGGGGAATCACATGTCTGAGATATGAAATCCGTAAGATTTTTTTTTGCCTTGTAAATTATTCTTAATTTTTGAATGGTTGTTAGGTGACATCATTCTCCCTGCCAGAGTTAAAGAGGCAATGCAAATGCAGGTTGAGGCTGAGCGTAAGAAGCGAGCTGCCATTCTTGAGTCCGAAGGTGTGCGAACAGCAGACATCAACGTGGCCGAGGGCAAGCGCCAGGCTCGCATTTTGGCCTCTGAGGCTCATAAGCAGGAACAGATCAACAAGGCTGCTGGTGAGGCGACCGCCATCATGGCCGTGGCAGAGGCCAAAGCTAAGGGAATCAAAGTTGTTGCTGAGTCTCTTCGTTCAGAGGTGGGATTTTTTTAAATTAAGAATTTTTTAGAAATACATTTATCAAAATTACAGCAAGGAAACAAGGCTGCTAGTCTGACTGTGGCGAGTGACTATGTTGATGCGTTTAGACACCTGGCCAAAACCAACAACACCATTATTCTTCCAAACAACGTTGGGGACGTCAGCAATGCAGTAGTTCAGGTAAAATTATTGTAATTTTATTGCCAACGTCAGCTATGAGAATATACATTAATTAATATTTAATAAATATTAAGTAAGACCTTCAGAAACTTCTAAAAAAATGCTAGATAAACTTGGATAAGATGAAGAGATTGGAAATGATAAAAAAAAATATATGCTTTTATAAATGAATTTACTCTAATCTGAGCTTATCTTTTTGCCTTTTGTGTTCCAGGCTATGACCATCTACAAGCAGCTGAACTCAAATTCAGAAAAAAGCTACTCGAGCGCTTTACCCTCAAATATTCCTGACTTGTCTGAATACTACAGTGATGATGAAGAGAGAGCGCAGGCTCAGCTAAAAGTTGCTGAAAAAACCTCGAAAAACAAAACAGACTATTAGATTATGCTTCTCAAGGAATGGACTGTTTTTATTTAATTAAAAAGATTCATAAGCAATGAAAAATATTTTCCTTGTGTATTTATTTTTTCAATTTAAAGAAGGTTACTACTTTTCAAGGTAGTAGGAAAACGTCTCGTCTTTATTACTTAAAAGTCATTAAAAGTTTTTTATAAAGTATACTAATTTTGTGTGGTGTGAGAAGCGTGACAGCAATGCGTGCCGGAAGCGTAAAAGGACATTTTGTATTCCAGCTACGCCAAACGATTCCGAGTCCTGACACGTTCGTGTGTATGCGTGCTGGCCGTTTTATGTCTGGGCAATAAAAAGACAGGCAAAACCTGCTTCCATCTCTCAGGGGACACTAGAGAATAGAAATACTTACATACAAAACTCCAACACAAACTGAGCTGCAGTTTCCAAAAGTCGGTCCCTGGGTAGCAATTAGAAGTTAAGGGAAAATGGGAGAAGCAATAAACAACACGGGAATCAGAAAAAAATCGGTAGTAAATCATACTTGAGTCGTTTGCTTATAACTAATTAATTTATTTATTTTCGTAATTGCTTAGTGTAGTAATATGTTCTCTTGGTTTTCTCAGTTTATTTTCTTTAATTTCTCACAAACTTCACAAATCAATAAGCGGGCAATTTCTTATCAAACGATTAAACAGTAAACGCATAACAAATAAATTCAAAGAATATAAAATCACTCGTTTGGTTTTTTGTATAAAGGGAGACTAGAGAGAGTTTAAAAAATGTAAAATTTCTAAGTTCCCATGATTCTTGCAGCTTTTTTTTTTATCAATCATTCACGCGCGCTGCTTTTTTCTGAACACGGGCGCAGCACTTTTTATTAATTGAACTCTGTGAGCGTCGCTCTCTTGATTATGAAGCACTTCTCTCTCTCTCTGTACATAATTAATATTTCATAAATATATACACTGCATGTTTTGTAAGCGATTATGGCGTGAGAAACGTTGCCTGCCGCGAGATCGTACAGAAATACAATTTAATATCAAATCCATTAGCGGAGTAGTGTGTAAATCATGCGTTGTGCGCCTATATGGTACGTCTCAGCTAAAACACTCCTGAAAATCTTGTGCCTATTGCGATAGTTATAGTTAATTTCATTGCTAATTTTGCTCTACAATCATAACAAGGGTCCTAATAATTTATTCCGTTTTATAACAAACACTGATTGCGGAAGAACACGTTATTTTTCTCTCACAGTATAATAACGAGAAAAACGCACAGATATTTTTTTACGTAAGAAAGGGAGTCTTTTTTTAAAGATTTATTTTCTGCAGGAATATATTTTCTTGGTAAAATTTGGCATATCTCTGAAGGAGTTTACCTATAATTCCTATAATTTTTTTTCGTCTTGTAATAAAATTTGTTTTCAAATGGTACAAGGTATACATTTTTGGACTTTGTAATCTGTTCTAGATAGAAAATGGATTGATTGTGAGTTGTGAGAAGAAGTTATATGTTTTCGATAGCACATTGTTTATATATTTGTTTTTGAGCAGGGTCGGACCATTTTAGTATGTTTTTATTGTAGCAAAGATGTGTGTATTTTGTGAAGAACAATTTAGATTTTGTAAGTGCATTGGTGATTTATCTGCGTTAATATTATTAATACAAGATAAAAAAATGGTGCATAGTCCAGATATTTTTTTAAACGCTTGAATTCGATTAATTGAAGAAAAAAATAATAGCTACATAGATTTAATCACGCAAATTAATCAAACAATTTAATATTTAACATGCAGATGTACGTTTTTCTATAGCGTCACACCATTGGAAAGGGCCGTGAGCTTCGACGTAACAAACAGGAAATTTTGATTTATTGTCAATTCAAATGCTAATTTTTTGAAGCACGCATTTTTAATTTCGTAAATATCATATCCCAAGAATTTTTTTAATGAACTTCTATTAGTTGCTTTTAATTCACCAATGATAAAAATTAAATTTATAGGGTTTTGAAATCTAAATTAATCTTTTGTTGATCAGACTTAAATGATGTTGATTAAAAATTCAACGTGCTAAGTGCTAACAATAAGATGTTTTTACCGTAAGCATTTAATTTTTTCTCTTCGAGAGATTGAAATTCTGAATAAAAAAAGAAAAAATTAATTTTAGAAATCTGATGGGAAAAATTAAAACCAAGATAGTCATTAAATAGAGCTAAATTCACAGAGTAATTAGGACTTGTCATAAACATTTGAAACAATGCAGTTAAAAGAGTTTCAAGTTCTAAAGAGCTCTTTAACAGAATGACTCGTTTCTCACACAGGTATCGGCGTGGCAAGGCTCTCTTCTTTAAACAACACTCACTTCTTGTAATATAGAGTTACCACATTATGATTATTTTTTATTGTTCTTAGTTTTGCAGCTGCTGGCGTACATACGATATTACATTATTTGCTGGGTGCTCCGAACCGAATCGATAAAATCTGGCCGCGTCCGTGATGCTTTTATCAAAAGTGCTAAAATCGATATACGCGCAGTGAATTATTGTAGTACAATAAAATTTATTACAACTGCTTCAAGCTACGCGCTGCACACCCACTGCAAAATATGCTCATAATTAGATTTATTTAACTCGGGAAGTGTTTGAGATCGCTTTGAGGCTCCACCACAACTTGATTTCATATTTAATCGAGGCAGTGGGCACCAATTATTTTGTGCAAATAAAAAAATCTCCGTCCAGTTTGGTATATTTTGATAATTTTTCCTTTTTTGATCAAGAGGGTATAAATATATAGTGTGTTGATTATTTTTACAAACCTTTGTATTTAATAATAACATCCGTCTGATGCTGATCTCTCTGTTATAATTTCCGCCAAAATTCCTCTGCAAATCTTGATCTCAAAACCATCAGTCTGTTTTCATCTTTTATGCGACAAGAGACATGAAATGTTGATATTAATTTCTTCATTGTCAGCTCGATATAAGAATAAGGTTGATTCCTTTTATGAATATACAATAGCTTTTATTCGTTAACAATTTTAGACTTTTTTATATAGATTTTTCAACCTCAGATTTTTAAATTGATTGCTTATTATCATCATTATGAGAATTGCCACGTACTTGTCCCTAATATTCATTAATTGGGTTGATTGAAATAGGAGTATGTGTATAATATATAATTGCTTTAAAATTCATAAAGTGGTGAGATCTCTCCTTTAGTATTATACTTTGGGTAATTTTAACATGTATGTACTCTATATTATCAAGCTAATTTCTGTTGATGCATATTATTATAAATTGCTATGCGACAAATATTGCTCAGTTGCGAGACAGCTATATTGGTCCACAGTGGTGTTCTTAGTGAAATTGCTTCTTCTTATTTAGATCCACGGGTATACAAATACATAATTATACGTTTCTCTTGTTACAGAATATAATTATTTCCTTTTCATAAACGACTTCTTCACTCCATATTACTAAATTTTAAATCCGAAATTCAGCGCAGGCTTGAAAAGAAAGCCAGCTGTGATAATTGAGGTTTCAATCACATCATACGTTGAGGGCAGCAAAATTTCGATTGGTTCCAACTTGCGGAATGCGAAAAGAAAAGTTATAGTTCTGATTGTATAAAATTAAAGTACGATTAACAAGTAAGGTCTTTTTTGGTGTCTCAGGTTGATGTCTCTGGTGTGTGAGAATGAGAGTAAGAACTGTCCGCAAGTTAATTAATATAGTGTGTGACGATGCTCTTGCTGGATTGCGCAATGGCAGAGTCCAAAATTATCCATACACTCACACAGGCGGTAAAACGTGATAATTAAAGCGCAAAGTATTGCGGTGCTACAGGTAGTTGGGTTTGCACAGGCAGCAAAACGAACCCATACTGCGGTACAAGGAGCTCCGGCGCCTTCGTTTGCTCCATTTGCTCACCACTTCGTCTCCTCCTAAACCTAATTGACGGCCTGCAATAAGGATAAACACAATTTGTATAGTCTGAATAGTTTTTCCTTTAAACGATTTAATAATAATAATAATAATAATATAATAATAATAAAAAAAAAAACGGAAGAAATTCTTTATATAGTACAATAATCAATATACTTGCTAAGTTTTAGAAAATCAAATATTACTCTGCTGCTCGTAGACATATAAATGATCACATAAGCACAAATCATGCAATTATGGAAAACCACTTGAATAAATTGAAATTACAAATTAGGCCAATTTTTAATATATTGATTATGGTGCCAAATAAAACTTCAATAAAAGCAAATAGATCGTAAACATCAGCCAACTTAAGATTATTACGGAAAAAAACACATATTTTGACGAAAAAACGGACTGAAATTTTTCTCTCTATTTCTATTAACTGAACCCTAATTTTGACATGATATAGTCTAAAAAAATCCTATGATTTGCGTTGACTCTAAGTTTTAAGAAAAAGTTAGGGTTGAGCAACGAGCATTAAATTTGCTCTCTGATACATTGGAAGTTTATTTTGCATGAACTTGAATGCACACACGCGCTTTTGCACCGTCGGAAACAAAAAATGAAAAGTCTAACAAGCTAAATTAGCAAGTTGTGTTTGCTCTGCGCTCTCGCGGGAACGTCGCCTCAGAGATTAATCTGCGCTCCAACTCCTTCTGCCTTTGGCAAACAAGACGTAATATTCACCCGAGTGAAGCGGCGGCGGCTCTATACACTCCTGTCATACACGCTCACGTACGCCTGACCTTCAGATTTGCACGCGAAAAGGTCAAAAGGAGCGCATTTTAAATTCACACTTGCGCTTCGCAAGGAGTGAAAGGAGGAGCGAGAGAAAGAGAACCAACGAAAAGAGGAGGAAGGCGTCAGAGTTATGCAACGCTCACAACTTACATGTCGAGCGGATTGCCTAACTTTGTTACACGCGAGAATGCTCATAATGTCAGCAGTGGTTGAAAAGCGTTCAAACTTTGAAACTAAATGGACTGTGTGAGCTGTCTCCGAATGCTGAAATATGGAATGGAATTCCATACGAAATTATTTTCAAATTGAAAAAAAAATATAATGAGTGTGGTGGTCCAGTGCAAAAACTGGAAAACAAGATAATATAGTTCAGCAAAATGGCTTGAAAAAAAAGCTGACCAGCGCATTCACAATTTTTACATGAAAAGAGTGCCAAAAGAGGAAATTGGAGTGGTTTTAAATTAGCCTGAAAATTATTATGGTGATAGTCAACTTAAACTAAAGATGGCATTTTATTAAAGTAAGAATGCTTTTTATATTTTATTAAAAGGTTTTTAAAATTATTAAGATGCAAAAATTACTCTAAAATTTGGATGTAAATATGAAACTAAAACGATGTGAGTGGACTTATTACCTTGAGAAATAGTGTCTTGCTGCTGCTGGGGCATGTATTCTTGCATGTCGGCGATCAGACCGTTGATCTCCTCCGAGTCCTTCTTGATGCTTGCCAGCTCCTCCTGGTTGAAGTCGGGCGTGATCGTTTTGCACAGCAACAACTGGCTGATTAGATTGCCCATGTTTGACGGACCGGGTCGATTTTCTGTAAGAAATTAAATGATGGCTAAATATAGAGCATTGGAATAGGTAGGCGCCAACTGACCATAGTAGCCCGACATATCCATCGGAATGACCTGCACCAGTCTCCTACACTTAATCAGTTCGCGAAGAAAAAGTTGCGTGCACATAAAGAGCAGTATAAAATGTTGATTATCTACTGGGATGCCCTCAGCTACATCACTGAAACACAAGAGCATTGCCAATTACTACCTTCAGCTTTCATTACGGCGCGGCTTTTTAATTAACGCACACAGTCGATAGCGCCGATACGCTTTTTCGTTTATTATTCAATATAACGCAGCGTCGCTTCGGAGGGAAATCATCGCTTAATTTGAAACTGCCTGCAAAGTCGCCCACCTCTTTCGCAGCAGCGAAACTTTCCTCTGAATAACTAAGCAAATAAACTCGTCCGCTCGAATCTGCTCCTTGGAGCCTTTGAAGCAAAAAGTAAATTTGGAGGGTCGACTGGAAAATTCGCCTTTTCCTCTCCTTCTTTCTGCGCCTTTGTGCAAACAATTCAAACCAAAACATTACGCTGAAAAATTGGATTATGCTCTTACAGGGAACCATTTGCTTATATATTATACTATTTTATTCACCAAAATATTGATAAAATAAAAATTCTAACAATATATTATTTAAATTCAGCTTTGGAAACACTATATACAGTGTAAATTATAAAATAAACAATAAAGATTTTAAATCAAAACAAATTAATCATGTTAGGTAAGAGGTTCAATAAATTTAATTAAAATAAAAAAAGTACAATAAACTGCAAAAATGTTAGCTTTATGATTTTTATCACTTCAATAGTTTGTACACATAAGGAAACGATTTTAAATTTTAGAAAAGAGAAAATACAATTAATAAATTATTACATATCTAGCCATTTTCCCCACAGGGGTAATTACCAGATCGGCCATTTGGCCGCGTAGCCGACGATATATAATTATAATATTAGTTTTAATATTTATAATGGAAATTATAAGATACAAAAGCTTAGTTTTTTTATTATTTATTAACGTGATTATTAATAACAAATTATTATTTTAAGATAAAGATTTTAATAGGAATTACATAATATATTATTCACATATGGGATTAATAATATTACTAAACTGCTTTTATTGGTTACATAATAAGAAAAGAAATAATAATTTATGTATTTATGTATTCTTGATTAAATATAGATTAAAGATTATCAACCTAATCGATGTTAATGTATGTGCAAAAATAAGCGTAACAATTTCACGTTTCTATAATCTTTGGCGCTACTGAATTATATAAATCTATTAAAATTCTAACGAGAATTGGTTTTGAGTCATTGTCAGACAATTATTGATGTTTAAGCGTTTTAGACAAATAATTTTCGGGTTCAGATTTACAGAGGAAAGAGGAAGGCGACTCTCCCGAGGCCATTTACACACCGACTTTGGCAGTCTTGGTTCACACCGGTTCACACGACCGGGGCGAAGTTTGTTGGCGTGTCCGCCTTTGTGTGTTTGCTAGAGACCGTGCAGAGAATTATCGGAGTAGATCGAGCGCGCGGGGTGCGGAAATGAGAGGGAGATCTTTTGCGTCGGAGCGGACGCTGCTTTTCATAGAACGGAGACGTTGATCGAGTAGGTTTAAAGTTTAATGAAGCCGGCGCCGACAGCACAGGTGCACGGCGTGTTGCATAAACCAATTTGACAAAATCGTCTTCTGATCGAGTGAACGTGACAGTTTGAGTTTGGCTCGGATTAACTCGGTGCCTCTCCAGATTTTAATGCCAGGACCATTTTTCGATTGGTTCATTACATGAAGGCTTTGATACGTCGAATTTCTCAAACAGGCTGGCGGCAGCGATTTGCAAAGACGAATTTCGACTTGGCAATTCAAGCTCCGTGACTCTAACAAGAGGAATGAGTTATTCCCAATGATGAATTGGTCTTTATAAGCATCACTTCTTATGACTAATGGATGAAATAATTTTGAGCCTAAATCATTTTCTAACAAATCGTTACACAAGAAAATTTATCAAATTTATATGAAGTATAATTTAAAAATGATTCAAATTATTAAATTTTAAAGAGGTTTCCAAAATAGATTAATGCTTTTCTGGATAATTCAGCTCTGTCTTAAAAATTTCCTGATATTATTAGTTTATAAATTAATGCTCAAATTCTTTGTCTCAAATAATTTTTGAAGCAAAATTTTAAGAGAAGATAGCTATGAATGAAAAAATGACTGATCAACTTTTTTTCCTAAAATTAATTCCTATCTTTTAATGTTTTAACGAGTTTTGACTTGAAAAACCACCAAAACGTGGATAATAAACTTATTAATTAATTTATTCTTTGATAGAATTTCTATTAAATTGCGTGAAAAAAGAAAAGTGAAATATTAAGAATGTTTACTTTGAATAACATTTACCTAAAAACCAATTATTTTGTCATAAAAATAGACCTTCTCCAACGACTCCAACTAATACACCCGCAACCCGCATCTGTATAATTAGGATTTTTTCCCATCTAACTTTGGATTATACTGTGTGAGGATATTAAAATCCAACAAAAAATTTCATACAGCAAATAATTGTAAATTCATAGATTCAGAAAATTTAAAATGCTCCCTTTTTCAATTTACAAGTCAATAAAAAAAGGACCGACTAACTTCAAACAAAGCAAAAGGTTGTTATTTTCATTTGAAACGAGGTTTTTCAACCAAATAAAACTCATTTCTATGCTCGCCGAGCTCTGCATGTTCAGCAAAGCGAATAAACGCCAGCTCTGGTTGCGGAGCGGCAGAACGAAAAGTGCTGCCGGCAGACGGTCGGAGTGGCGGGTCACGTCACGAGCCATAAAAGCTGGTGCGCGCCCTTTAATTGGTAATTGAAACTTGCAGCCGAAATTTATGTACTTTCGCAACAATGCAGGAATCATCAAAGCTGGGCGTTTTTATGACGTCACGCACGTGAGAGCTACTCGTCGTTAACCCACGGGAATTAGCAGCAGTCTTCTTTTTTTTTTGAGAAAAAAATTCGAACGTGTATGCCACATACGCACTGCTGCTTTTCGTCTCGTTGCGAACAATGGATGAGAGAAGAGCGGTCGGCGCCTCCCTGGGCGCGGAAATACGCCGGAGAAGTAGTGCGTGTGTGCCACTGCTGTGTTTTCAGAGGATCCGCACCGGCGAAAAACACGCGGAAAATTGAATTAAGCGGCGGTGGAAATCAATAGGCGGTGCCCAGAGAGCGCGCGAACAGGTCGTTTGTGTGTAAAACGAAACTCGACGGCAGTTGCGAGAAACAAACTCATGAGCCCGAGGCTGCTCTCAAAGTCGAAAACACACTAGGGTGAAATTTGCGGTATTTGACACCAAAGTCTGCGAGAGACCTCAAGGGCTACCTCCTGTGGCTTTTTGTTCCTCATAAGTCATAACCCATAACTGAGCAGTAAAAAATATACATATTCCTACTCTCTACTGTCGACAATAAATAATTATGATGCGAGCTGGAAAATTTATATTAAAAATGGGGGTATATGGACAACTTTTTTTAATCAAAACTAATTGAATTTTTATTTTCTTCTGATAACATATTTTGAAAATTTCACCACTAATGGAGAAAATCTTCATTAAAAGTCGATCTTTTTACAAAAATTGAATGCCGTGGTCTGAATTTTGAGATTGATTTTTAGGTCTGCGACGTCTAACAAGAAAATTCTCTCAGTCCAGGCAGACCTAAACAGAAATTAAAAAATTCAATCCTGACACGCAAAATTTTCAAATTAAACGTCTCCTGAAGAAGATTTTTTTACGCTTTAGTCGAACATTTTGTAAAAAACTGAATTTCTGGACTGATTGAACATTGTAAAATGCTCGTCAATAACAAAATTTAAAATGATTGCTGCAAGCGACAATTTTGAAAATTTTTCATTTACGTCCAATAACAGATTTTGGAGATTTCACCACTGATGAAGAAAATCTTCATTAAAAGTCGATCTTTTTACTAAAATTGAATGCCGTGGTCTGAATTTTGAAATTGATTTTTAGGTCTGCGACGTCTAACAAGAAAATTCTCTCAGTCCAGGCAGACCTAAACAGAAATTAAAAAATTCGATCCTGACACGCAAAATTTTCAAATTAAACGTCTCCTGAAGAAGATTTTTTTACGCTTTAGTCGAACATTTTGTAAAAAACTGAATTTCTGGACTGATTGAATATTGTAAAATGCTCGTCAATAACAAAATTTAAAGTGATTGCTGCAAGCGACAATTTTGAAAATTTTTCATTTACGTCTGATAACAGATTTTGAAGATTTCACCACTGATGAAGAAAATCTTCATTAAAAGTCGATCTTTTTACTAAAATTGAATGCCGTGGTCTGAATTTTGAAATTGATTTTTAGGTCTGCGACGTCTAACAAGAAAATTCTCTCAGTCCAGGCAGACCTAAACAGAAATTAAAAAATTCGATCCTGACACGCAAAATTTTCAAATTAAACGTCTCCTGAAGAAGATTTTTTTACGCTTTAGTCGAACATTTTGTAAAAAACTGAATTTCTGGACTGATTGAATATTGTAAAATGCTCGTCAATAACAAAATTTAAAGTGATTGCTGCAAGCGACAATTTTGAAAATTTTTCATTTACGTCTGATAACAGATTTTGAAGATTTCACCACTGATGAAGAAAATCTTCATTAAAAGTCGATCTTTTTACTAAAATTGAATGCCGTGGTCTGAATTTTGAAATTGATTTTTAGGTCTGCGACGTCTAACAAGAAAATTCTCTCAGTCCAGGCAGACCTAAACAGAAATTAAAAAATTCGATCCTGACACGCAAAATTTTCAAATTAAACGTCTCCTGAAGAAGATTTTTTTACGCTTTAGTCGAACATTTTGTAAAAAACTGAATTTCTGGACTGATTGAATATTGTAAAATGCTCGTCAATAACAAAATTTAAAGTGATTGCTGCAAGCGACAATTTTGAAAATTTTTCATTTACGTCTGATAACAGATTTTGAAGATTTCACCACTGATGAAGAAAATCTTCATTAAAAGTCGATCTTTTTACTAAAATTGAATGCCGTGGTCTGAATTTTGAAATTGATTTTTAGGTCTGCGACGTCTAACAAGAAAATTCTCTCAGTCCAGGCAGACCTAAACAGAAATTAAAAAATTCGATCCTGACACGCAAAATTTTCAAATTAAACGTCTCCTGAAGAAGATTTTTTTACGCTTTAGTCGAACATTTTGTAAAAAACTGAATTTCTGGACTGATTGAATATTGTAAAATGCTCGTCAATAACAAAATTTAAAGTGATTGCTGCAAGCGACAATTTTGAAAATTTTTCATTTACGTCTGATAACAGATTTTGAAGATTTCACCACTGATGAAGAAAATCTTCATTAAAAGTCGATCTTTTTACTAAAATTGAATGCCGTGGTCTGAATTTTGAAATTGATTTTTAGGTCTGCGACGTCTAACAAGAAAATTCTCTCAGTCCAGGCAGACCTAAACAGAAATTAAAAAATTCGATCCTGACACGCAAAATTTTCAAATTAAACGTCTCCTGAAGAAGATTTTTTTACGCTTTAGTCGAACATTTTGTAAAAAACTGAATTTCTGGACTGATTGAATATTGTAAAATGCTCGTCAATAACAAAATTTAAAGTGATTGCTGCAAGCGACAATTTTGAAAATTTTTCATTTACGTCTGATAACAGATTTTGGAGATTTCACCACTGATGAAGAAAATCTTCATTAAAAGTCGATCTATTTACTAAAATTGAATGCCGTGGTCTGAATTTTGATATTGATTTTTAGGTCTGCGACGTCTAACAAGAAAATTCACTCAGTCCAGGCAGACCTAAACAGAAATTAAAAAATTCAATCCTGACACGCAAAATTTTCAAATTAAACGTCTCCTGAAGAAGATTTTTTTACGCTTTAGTCGAACATTTTGTAAAAAACTTAATTTCTGGACTGATTGAATATTGTAAAATGCTCGTCAATAACAAAATTTAAAGTGATTGCTGCAAGCGACAATTTTGAAAATTTTTCATTTACGTCTGATATAACAGATTTTGAAGATTTCACCACTGATGGAAAAAATCCTGAAGTTACCTTCGTATTTGCGGCAGAATGACCGTGACCGAGTGCTTGAAGGCCTCCACGCACTGTCGGCGCAATTTTCGGATGCGCTCCCTCATCTCGGGCCCGTCCTTGGTGTGGTGGCCTATGTGGATGAGCAAGTCGCGAAACGTGGCCACTTGAGTGTTGATCTCGGCAATTAGCTGCAACAGAGGAAATAGCCAGGTTCGTCAATAATCAACATACTACATGACTCCAATGGAAAAAATGAGACGCGACACACAAAAGACACTTTTACGACGTGCTGCCTTGTTAAATTTTTATCTTCGCGTGAGTGCGCTAGCCATACCATAGAGAGGCGAGGGGCAACCGTGCGAGATAACATCCAAACAGTGGCTGCCCGCTTTTATGTTTCACCTTCATAGGCGTTCGGAAAAATTTCCCCCCTCGCTCGGAGATGATAAGTAGTATTAGGGTTTATTTCTTTCCTCAGAGGTAAAAAAATTCCTGAACGAAAATGACTTTTTCTTTATCAAGTTTGATTTGTAAAGAAATTATCTGACGACTTTAGTGGTATTTGCGTAGATTTATCTTTAATAAGACACCCTCGTCAGATACAAATTATGAACATAAAAAAATTTGACTTGTGTAAAAAAAAAACAGGCTTTATAGTTGTTGAAAATCGTTTTATACCTGTATAAAACAAAAGTTTTATAGTAAAACAATTGAACTTACCAGATTCGGTCACAATCTGTGACCAAACGTCATGAGAAATAAAAATACCTTTCCCACCCAGCAAAAATTAACAGAACGAGAATGGAGCCTGTTTCGTGTTGTAGAAGCTTCACACTGACAATTTTTTTGCTGATTTTTTTTTTAATATCAAGTATAGATTCTGAATTATTGGAAAATTATTTTATAAAAAAAGTTTAAAAAAATTTATACAAGATTTGTTCAAAATGGATACAAGTAGAAAAATAAACATTTTGTCTTTGACTGATAATTTTCCTATAAAAAGTATATTATGATTCTTTTTCTGCACCATCTAAAATTCAAAATTCATTGATTTTATTATAAATCATGTTTTTTAAAATAGCTTTAATGTTAATTCTCTTTTCCTGAGGTCTGGGTTGCTTGTGTAGTGCATAGATTTACTAAAAATAGGGTGAAGGGTGTAGGTAAGCTGTTTAAATGATCAACCGTGCAAAATTTAAAACTGGCAATCTAAATAAATTGGTGTACCACAAGGCAATCCCTGCCCAAATCAAGATAAATCATCCAAATATTAATAAGACATGAATGAAAAACTACAAATATTGAGAGAAAAGAAATCGCATAAATTTTATTCATCATTTTTTAAGTCTTCCCATTTAGTATAATTTCTTTAATACAAGAATCTTTGAATATTTCTGGAAATTTTATCCGAGCTAAAAATCACTTTGTTGTTTATCAATAAACCGCAATAAACCTACTTAGCAACCATACAACATGAAATAGACAATGGGGCTTTTAGTCAGGATGGAAGTAAACAAGAACTTATAGTTTTATATAAAAAGCACGATATCAAAATTGTACTCGTGTTTGTGAATTTCCAATTAGGCCTTATTCCAGTTACAAATCCAGTCTGCAAAATTTAGTCTCGGCAATTCAACGTCCGGTGACATTCACACGAACGGTAATTGCTGCTACGTATTTATTTCCCCCCGGGGCTCAATCTCTCATCAACATCTGAAACGAAAAAAGGACACCACACTACTACGCTTGCCTAATTGTGCTCTGTTGTGTACGCGTGCACCAAATATTGTACATAACGTGGCGGTGGTGGCGTTGATAATAAAGCACTAACTCTCGCATAAAACCCGCAATATTGATTCACTCCACCACTAAAAGCAACAGGGAATTGAAATTCACAAAAAAATAAAAAATACAGCTGGCGAGTAGTTTTAAATAAATTCTCGTCAGCTTTCCTCACTGATGTATGCATATTGTTAACATGCACCGTCGGCTGCAATCGATTTCTGCCATGCTCCTCCTCAGAATTAAAAATAGTCGACGGGAAAATGTATGAAAACTTTGTGAGTGCAATACAAGAAAAATGGCAAGCTCTTCATTTTTCCTGCAAGAAAAAAAATCGCCTCCAGCCTTCTGCGTGACATGGATAGAGAAGAAAAAAAGCGCCTTCAGGGCAGAGACGAGGCAGCGCATCTCTCGACTTCGGAAAAAATGTAGGTCGCAGCCGGGATATTTTGGTCGGAGTAGCCCCTGAGGGTGGCTGCCACCCTCGATCGTCCTCATGCTTATTCACCCTCACAGTTGCAGGTACGTATGTTTTATCTCCATACAGAAATATTTGAATTCAATCAAAAACGCGACGCAGACTTTCTTTTTTCTTTTGCCTCTCGTTCGTCACTTTATTCGCACGCTTTCCTCTCCAAACGACATGCAAATCAAGCAAATATTTGAAGAATTCTTTGATGCTCTCTCAGCCCTTCTGGCGCACCCGCTGCACGATCTGCCATATTGGCCCGAAATATTAGCAGCGTCTCCCTCTCTCTCTCTCTTCTTGAAAAGATGTATGTATTTCCGCTGTCAAATCCTCGTTTGCTCGTCGCAGAGTAAACTTCGGATCGCGTTTTCCCAGCGACGAAATGAGAGAAATTCGCCGCAGATGATCCTCCCTTTTCGTTCAACAGATATTGCGGCGATGGAGATTGAATGAAAAGCATTTTCATTGAAAACGCTGAGACGCGTGAAACGAGTTTCAAAACTTGACCCACATATATTACTTGTTTTCTTTTTCTTTTTAAGTTTAAAAATGATGCTGACACAATGTAGATATTTGGAATCCAAATGTATGACAAGATTTATTTTCTATTTACAAATTGTTAAAAAAAAAAGAAATTTTTAGTGCTGCTGAGTGCTGCAATTGTTCTCAGATTTGTCACCAAATATTGCATAATTTGGTAATTTTTGCTACCAAAATGTGTTTTTAATAAAATTGAATATTGGAAATATGGGTTTGTTTTACAAATAATTCTAACTCAAAATTATCATTTTGGGTCAAAAATTAAAATAAATTTTTACATTTAGGAATATCTAATAAAATATAATTTGGTTTAAAATCCACGTTATCTTTTTAATTTGAAATTATCAGGAGCAGTCATCTAAGCGTTCGAATACACTGAAAAGTAATTGATTTGTCCTTATCTAAACCAGATCTAAACTGACCAGTACGGAAATATGGAAGCAACATCTGTTAAAATCAATTCTTTTATTCAGCAACCCATGTAACGTTGCTTCTCCAGTTTTCAATATTAAATATCTGCATGTAATGTAAGGATACTAAAAGGATAATAAAAATGGTATTGAAAAAGCAATAGCAAAATACTATTTATCATGTGAAATAGGTGGATAATAACGTCTACCAGTTGAGAAAATGTATTTCAGTTTTTATTTTTAGCTATTTATTTCATGTTTCCCAAAGAATTTAATGTTAAATGCATTATTTTTTTGCAATTAATTTGCCTGCTCAATAAATATATTAATTAAAAAATATTATATTTAATAAATTTTTATTAGAAGTAACATGGAATATTAAAAAATAATAATTATTTATTTTATCTGCATTTAATTCAGTTAATAAAGTAAAAATATTTATGCGAAACGTATTTTGCATGCCAAATGATTACATTAAATAATAGATAAATTAACACAACAATTATGATTTATATTTAACACTTTCGCTTGCAGGCTAAAATTTTTATAAGACCTCAAATTATGTCAGTGGCAAATCTGAGGAATTCGCATGACGTCAATTGCTTACAGGGTTGGATAACGATTCTCCCCAACCCCATTTTTGCAGCATTCAACCCTCGTCACTCGCTTCAGGGGTGTCTGCTAATTTCTGCAAAGTCGCTTTAGGCGTGTCGCGGCGCGAGAGTTTAATTTTTAATCAGCTCATCTACATTTTAGAAAATGCAAGTTACTCCTCGTGAGTCTCCATCTCTCGCATCCGGAGCGCAGCCCAACGCCGACGCTCGCGTGTTAATTAAAGTTGAAAGACTCTCAAAGCACTTTATTACTTATTCAAGAGACACCCTCTCACACAAAAGTTAAGACAGAACGTAGAGGCACTGCTCTCGAATGGCAAATTCAATTTTGCGATTTGCATTGCAGTAAAAGGTGATCTCGATTGTTTTGAATCAAATAAAAATAATTCTTGCGAAGTTTAAAGCTAAAGATCTCTACAAATGCATTAATATGGCGAAAACATTTAAAACTTGATTAAACACAAACTAAATAATATTACATAAATATTCGAGACACATCTTCTATCTTGTAGTTTTTTTATATATTTTATTTGCATTTAAAAACATTATTTGCTTTTCTACATCAGGAAAAAAAATTAAACTGCATCATTGAAAAAGAGAAACACACAAGAAAAATTAAATTCAATTAATATTGTCTTGTTAAGCAAGCCCTGTCTCAGATGACGCGGCGTTGCTCCTATTCATGAAGTTATTGATTTTGTTCACTATCAATTCAAAAGAAAAAATTGTTGTCACTTTGTGTTTGGTAACCAAATTTATTTATATTTTACTTCTTTCAAACTTCTGTATCAGTACATCAATTTCTCAGCACAACCGGAAGAAAATTGATAAGGATCTGCTGCGAGGCGGAAAAGTCGTGAACGCGATTGGCTCCGTTTGAAGTTTGTTTCGCACCTGCGACTCACATTCGACATGACAGCGAAGAAGAAGTGCCAACTTGGAATAATGAGAAACGCCGCCGTGTCGTTTGTTTGTTAACTACGCCTGTCTTTCTCTCGAGAGTAAGAGAGAGACACACAGCAAAGCGCACGACAAGAGGAGCACAAGGAGGAAAAGTCAAGTGCCTTCCAAGTTTTTCCTCCCTTGCACGGATCTCTCTCTCTCTCATTTACCTTGGGCCAAATGTGGCCAGAGAGAGAGAGGAAGGAAAAACAACTGCGGGAGTCCTCATTCATCTGCACGTTATTTTTCCTTGGTTAATTAGCAGAGGTACGACACCTCTGTGGTTAGCGCGACCGCCCACTCGAGCGAGGGTCATTCGCCGAATGGATCCGTTCCGCAAACAAATTCGATTGTCAAGGGGCCCCGCCGCCTTTCACATAAAATCCAACGGCTAAAACAAACACACATAGCGAGCGAGTGTGCATTTCCCA